TATAAATTTTCTAATATTAACTTCAATTAAGATAGAATTTCATAATTATACATTAAATTAATCATTAAACAGTAATAAAGATAAATAAGGATTATGACTTCCTAACATTGCTTCCAATCTTATCCATATTAGATCTATAATGAAGTAATTACATTTTTTTGTAGATAAAAATATGATACTATTAATTCTCCTAAACCTTTCCACAACTATTGAGCAAATTAACCCAGACAAATGATACCCGTCGCAGCTTCCTCCCCTCCGTTACAATTGCCAGATGTAGCAAATAAATTTCAGTTTTCGCACATTTCGGCTATATATCTATATATACACACACGTATGTATGTATAAAATATATTTATCCGAAAAAAGACCGGCAGGCAGGCGCAACATGTGTCAGTGCCTGGGGATTTGCGTCTGGCTATGCTCCACTAAGAGCAAATATTCGGTCCAGAATGATCGGCACAAAAATGTTGGGTACCGCACCAATGCAAAACCCCAATCTGAGAATGTGAAAATCTGAAAATCGAGAAAACAAGCCGATCATAAAAATGTATAATAATAAACATGCTGGGTGCGTGCGGATCTTAAATGAGAAATATGCAAACTTGCACTTGCTCCACTCCAAGACAATTGCTCAATAAGCGCAGCAGCAGATGCCAATGAGGTTTATTGTCGCCGATACAGTTAGGCTCTGAAATTCAAGGGATATATGTATATATAGTGGTGCTGTAAACAATTGAAGGCTAAGTGAGTCGTGAATCATCAAACTTGCAAAGTGAGTAATGCACTATGCAAATTTCTTAGCCAAGTGGCGAGGGAGAGAGCCGATGCTAACGTGTTTCCAATTATGCAAATAATCTCATAACATAACTCCAAGTCCGTCTGATAATAACCAGCCAAGTTTGGGATACTTTCCGTAATAAGTTTTCAATTAAAAAAATATTTGATAAGCAGCAGGCAGTAAGCAGAACGAACCCCCAAGACGGTGAAGTGACTTAATTGCTTTTCGCTGTTGAACTGCGATTGGCGCTAATTGAAGACAACTTGTTGGACAGCCCGTGCTGGCGTTGGTGAAGTGAAGGCGACGATGATGATGGTGGTCAGTGGTCAGTGGTCAGTGGTCACTAGTTAGTGGCCACTGCAACCTGTCCCCAGGCGGTGGGCAAAACTTTGTCATTGATGGCGGCTGGTTAGCACAGAGAAAAATATAAATTAAGTTTTAAAGGGGAAGAGAGTGGCATTGTTAACTGTGACAAAAAGTAAGTAAAATTTTAATTATTTTGTATAACCATTTAAGAAACAAGTAAGAGAGCTTTCCTTTATATTCCTTGTATTTTTATTTATTTATAACAAGAATCTAGTTTATTTCCCAGTGCACTTGCCCCGGAGGCCTCAAGAATTATGCGTGGCCAGCAGTTCCCAGAGCCACGTTGTCTGGCGTTGTCATTTCCATTTTGTTGATTTTCCTGTTCACTTTGCACTAATCGATTTTCAATATATATTCAGCGGTCTCTAGTACAAAATTGTTTTCTGTACCTCATGCATATTCAAAATATTCCAAAAAACATATTACGCAACTTTTGATAAATTGATTTCGGCGTTCTTTTTGGCAAGTGTGTGTGTATCGTATTACGCGATTAATTAGTTGAATTATACACTTGTTTGCATTCCAAGAATTATAAGCATGAATTGACCCAAATTTTGGGTACGAAATTAAGATATTTCAATTGCTGTCACTTAACATCAAGTTCAAGTTCAATTAGGCAAAGTCATTTGTTGTGTTTGATTGCCAAAAAAAAAGGAAAAGTAAATACTGAGAAGATCAATGACACAATAAGGGAAATACTTGTAATATCGCTGAGTCAATTCTATACATCTGATTCATCTGTTAGCTTTATCCTTATCTACAGAAGCAGTCAAAAGCCAACTGAATCACCTGTAAATTTTCAGCTGAAATGATTCATCTGGCCATTGTGTTTAGAATATAGTTTTTATGTGTTCATTGAGGCTATAATTCATGAATAATTGACAGGGTTATCGACAGATTTAAGCCATAAGCCTTTTAGCCCGGACATTCAGCTGTAATTGATTAACATTTTGCGCAAAAACATATTTCAAACCCAGTGGCTTAGGCTAATTAATCAAATTTTCACTAATTGGCAGAAAATAATTACAGAGAAATTGATCAAAATTGTTTCGCGCTTTGCGAATGCCAAATAACACGTATACGCCATGTGGGAAATGGAAAATGGAAAATCTCTCCTTCCCTCTCTTTCTACCTTCTCCTGCAACGTGCAGTCAAGAGTGAAATTCAATTTGTCCCCGAAAAAAAAAATCAGAAAAATAGTTTTGGTCACAAAATCGCAACCCGTAATGGCATTTCGCTGCTTTAAAGAGGCTTTAAAATTATGCAAAACGCATTTGGGCTGCAGGCACGAACCACGACGGCCATCCATGTCAATGACAGATACCAATCCACCCCCGAGTGTCCCCCGTAGCCACTTCTCTGCCGCCTGAGAAACGGCAGCAATTACAACCACAACAAGTGAAGCGAAATTTGGCCAGAGCAAAGGCAACCGCTTACCCCGGGCAAGCCCCCTTTTAGCCAATCACAATGCACTGGGAAAATGTTTTTTTAAGAAATATAAATTATTAAGAAATAGTTGGCTATGTTCTAAGATCTTTCAAGGGATTAAAATTATTATTTAGAAGTTAAATCTACGCTTAAAATAAACTTGCCAAAGCATTTCATGGATTCTTTGCATAAACTTTTGAGAGATTTCCGGCTTAGTACATTTTGAAAGAATTTACCCTTAAAATATTTATTTATTTTTCAACTTGGAATAATATTTAAATTTAATAAATATTTTCTGTACATCCTCTCAGTGTCTACAGCTCAAATTGTTGCAAGTGCAGTTGACGTTACCTCGATGGCTCTGCCAATTCTCGTGCATATTTAATTTTATGCTTATGCTCATGTTTGCCTTATGGAAATGTGAGATTTTACCACATAAGAGAGCAGGGCAAAAAAAAAAAAAAAAAAAAAAAGAGAAAACCAAATAAGGGGGAAATGAAAACACCGGCAGAGGCGACTTTGGCACTTTGGACTTTGAGCTTGCCAATATCTTTTATGCAAATTACGCAAAAATGTATGGCAAGAATTCTGTGTGGACACCCGACAAAGTTCAATTGTATCAAATTGGATCGCAGAGTACCGAAAAAAAAAACCCAAAAGAAACCCAAGAAAAATAAACGAAAAGCTTCGGCGGCGGCGAAGGCGACGTTTTGGGTGCGACTCCATCATCAATCATGGGCATCAATCAGAGGCGACCAGCGGAGAGTGAAACTTTGAAGTTTGCGGCACGCCGCACACAAATACAAACATCTTCTAAGCAATTTTGTGGTCCATTTCAATTAGAACACAGCAACAGCAGCAGCAAACAGGCCACATTCTGTGGCAAACCCAAATGCACATCATATATTGTATTTACAAACAGAGAGGAGAAGCGAGTTCATGGCAATACAGGCCACTAAATTAATATTTCGCACGACACTTTGCAAGCCATTTAATAGTTTCGATAAATTTTCACCCTAATTGCCCTATCCTGATCTCACTCTCACTCTCTGGTATTCATGTTCTTGATATAGCCTACAGCCAGCTGATGTCACTGCCACTTTCAACGCAATGGTCAGAGGACCATTTATAAAATGCACTTGCAATGCCAGAAATATGCAGCAAACAAATAGAAATTTGCAGCGGAAATGAGGCACACTCTTTGCGAATAAACATTTTGATTGACTGCCAAGGTTACCTGAGCAGGAAAAATGGCAGACCTATTTAGTTGTCTTTGAAGATTAGCCTATAAGCTATCTAATCTACTATGAAAAGCTACCCTGTCTTACTTTAATATTTTGTTACCCCAATTTAAAGATTTTTGCATCCTTGCCGGGAGTTCCATCTATATATCTACAATATATACAAACATATATGGCATTCAGCTGGCGGCAAAATAAATTATCTGGGTCAGACACTTCAGATGGGCTTTAAGCTGACATGTGGCCCACAGAGTGAACTCCGGGCACGAGAGTATCTGCGAGTATCCACCCATCTGCGGGCAGTGCCAAAATATTCAGTCTGCAGATATGCTAACGAGCAGACAAACAGATTTTGGCATGCTTGGAAGAAAGCTATTTTCGGAGCTATTTTCAAAAGCAGACAGACCATAAATTCATGCAGGGGGAACCACAAGAGTTCAGTTGAGCGGACAAACCACAATTGAGTATTATGTTTTGGGGTTTTAAATAAACTAGGCTTACTCAAATCAAGTAAGAGTTAAGCTCAGGAAAGGATTTGAAGCAAGGTGAATGTAGAGTTTAGCTCGAATAAATAATAATTGTATAAAACTTAGCTTTTTTAACATTTCAACATTTATAAATATATCCATTTAACTTGACATAACCACTATAAATATTATAAAGATAGCTTAAGTTGGGATTCCCCTTCAAGAATTAATTATATTAATGCTTTTGTGTTATGGGTTTATCTTTGATAAATTATTCATTGACTTGAATAATCGTATCATATCATGCCAAAACAATTCTCAAACATTTATCATAAGAGACAATGTGGATTTGCAAAAAAATAAGCATCAATTTCGCGACAATTTCACACGTTTCCAGAATTTCGAAGCTGTCAGATGTGTCAGAGTCGCGTCATTTGTCTCATTAAGCCATTATTTCCGCTTTAGATAGAAATGTCTCAGTTGACACTTCTCAAGAGCAATCTTGAGAATGACAATATGACATCATGGATGGGCTCTGCGATCGTTATGCATATAGATGTATATGGCGAGCATCTGAAGCGCCGGGGATCGGGCTCAATGACGGCGTCTCCATTAATCACAATCGTACGTATCACCACCAATTGCACCCAGCCCCAGCACAAGCATCATCAGCTCCAGCTTCAGCCCACACACAAAAATAATAAAAGTCCAATGATATATGCAGTGGCACGAGGGCGAATTTAAATTTTATATAACATTTCGCGACGTCTGATGGATGACTGAGTGATGTGTTGGCCAAGGACTCAATCGGTGAGCTTGCCATTGTGTTTGCAGGAAATCGATTTCAATTGAAATGCAGGATGTGTTACGGAGAAGCTGCGGGGGATGCGAGCTGTGCATCTGGGATGCCGCTACTTCAGGTCCTTCTCCTTGGCGGTTCCAATGTACAGGACGGACCAGGACTTGTCCGGCACCTCGTACTCCACATCCCGATGGAACACGCTAAGGGAACACAAAAAAGTAATTAAATTTAAGCGAAAGTAAGTGGTTCTCACTTGGTTTCCGAGCTGGTCAGGCGCTGGTGCATCGGTATGCAGGTCTGCTTTGGAGCTGGCTTCAGTTCAAGGGCAAAATTTTCCTCTGTAGGATCCATGGTCATCCGGTCTTCGCTGCCGCTGGGCCCGACGCCGCTGTCCCGCTCTCCAAAGCGAGAGGACATGGTGACTTATGCTGTGCTCCTCGATGATCAAGATGTTTCTTAAACGGACAATTTATAAATGGATTAAATTTGATTTTAAAGTCTAAAATTTGTACTGCTGCCAAAGAAAAATGTGAAACAACAAAAAATAAATAAATTGCGTTTTGCTTGAGTTACTACTATACCCCTGTTGCTTTGGTTTTATTTTTTTAATTCTCATTGAAAGACAAGAAAGGCAATGTTTACCGTTGTAGCAAATATAATATTTTAAGTTGCGAAAAAAACTGATTTACAATTGAGTGACTTAGTAGATACAACTTATGATTTCTTGGCTAAAAAATACTTCTATTTAACATAACAAATATAAATTGACTTTATTAGCTAATATTATGAAATATCCCAATTAAGTAGGTAATAAAATAACATTAATAATTATTGTTAAAGCTCTTTCGAACCCAATCGATCAGCCCCAGAAAAGAAGGCAACGTTGCTTATTGAGGAAACTAATGGCAAAGCCTAGAAGTATGCCATTTAAAAGGCTTGTATTTAGCTTCTACAACCTGTTGAGTATATTATTGTTATTTGTAGACTTAACATGTTGAAGTTTAAATTAAATATTTAACATCAAGAGTATATTTATCGATTAAAAATTGAAAGAAACAAGTATATGCCAATTAATCTTAATAAATTAAAATCCGTTATCTAATTTGTAATTTGATTAATATTTCTCTAGATTAGGATAAAAAGTTGTAATCAAAATATATAAGCAAATATTATTGTTTATAACGATTCATATATGAATATAGCGATCTCAAGAAGTTATCCAATAGTGTATAATAAATTATAATTAATTTCTTGTATATAAAACATCTGTGATTAATAAAACACTTTTAGTACATTTTCTTTTCTTTTTTTTTAATCTAAAAAAAAGAGAACTTTAAAAGTTCTTTAGTTAATCATATCAACACCATAGGAATTTCTAATAGTTGTCACTTCTTTAAAGAATTAAATTTTAAAAAAATTTACAGCTTTTCAAGAAATCAAACTGAAATAATTTAAATTTGCCGGCAGAAGTCACCGCTACTATGGCCGATATCATCCTGTAGCTTAAGTTTGCAACTTTAGCGTACAATAAATACAATAAATAAATGAAATTTGTAGGGATTTTTAAGATCAACGACGATTAACAAGTCTAATAGTGCATTATCCAACTGAAAAATTGTATTTCACTTAGGATTTATTGGTGTAGTTTTCAGTGCTTGAGTATCTACATCAAGGGGCTTCGAATTTTTAAGCTGAGGGTTGGGTTCTGCTGTGATGTTTACATAATGTATGTAGCTGGTGTTTCCGGCTGAGTTGTTGACCTTTCCAACATCCAGCATCAGAGAGTAGTACATTTCCGTTTTGGGACTTTCATCGAAAAAGAATCAGGCCTCAAACTCCATCTCGTTGAGGGGAGAAACGCCTTCCGGGTTTCGCATCAGCGTTGAGATTCTTGGCTCTCTGATATTTGTCCGGATTCTGGGATCTCCTGGAACTGGGCTCAGACCTATTGCCGATCGGCGCTATCGGAGCTATGAGTGGCTTTATCGGAGGCAGCATCGGCACCGGCTCATTCTCAAACTGGGGATTCCGTCGCAGAATACGACTGTCCCTTTGAGTGTTAAAGGTAGGGAACGAACCACCTCCGCCAGGCGGAGGATCCACTGCCTCCACTGCCCAGTTCGGCTTATTCTTTTTGTCATTCATGCCTAGTTGTGGCAGCAGTTGAACCCAGTGGAAGTGTCTTCGATGAAATTCCAGCCACACCTTGAATCTAATGATCGTAATTTCAGCACTAGAACATACTTTTTTTCTGATTTTGATTGTAACAAAAATAAAATTATTTCAAATACAAGTCAGTGGTGTCGCTTGAGTTTTCACCACCTGACAACTAAATTTATGTTTCTATTTCTGTGAACAATTTGTATATGTTTATATATTTGTCGGCGAGTTGGTTGCTAAGTGCAAATTTGGAAAGCTTGTTGCTATGGCAACAGAACTATTCGGCATGCTCAGGTATTGGTAGCCTGTAGGTGTCGCTGGCGCGCAGGCGCAATGACAGTTGAGTCGGTAACAGGAGTGTTACTGAGTGAGGTCTGTTCGTCTGTCGCAACAATAGGAGAGAATGAGAGAGACAGCTTGAGATTGTCTAGGAATGACATCTGAGTGAAAAGTAAGAAAAGGTGAAAGGGCCACAGGAAAAGTGGCGTGATGACAGATTCGATTTGACTGCGCAGGCGAACAGAACTCGCTGGCTCGACTACGGTTAAATTAAATAACGGATATCTCCGACATCAGAAGTGGGATTCACCATAGCCTCGCGGGCATTCTGATAAAGTGATTTTCGGTCGATATTAAATTCAGTAGCGCATCGAAAGCTTGCGCAGCCGCGCGGTGCGAGACACCGGAGTCGTGATAGGCAGTCAAATGCACTGGTCGCGTGTTGAGCCGGACGGTTGCAAGTGTCATCAGTGTCGGCCAGAAAATTTGGGGAAGAATGGAAGACAACAACAACAGCACACTGGCGGAACTGCGGCTGAAGTGCGGAGAGCTGGAGTGACGCACTTCAGGCGTGAGAACGGTGGTCACATTGCATCTGTGTGCACGAGATGGGTATCAGCGGCTGCGAGCGGCAGCGGCAGCTGCATGTAGAAGCGAGTTGATTTGTGTGATTCAACAGTGACAGTATCGGGTGAGCCCTTTCCAATTATTCTTTGATTTGGGAGCTAAATTGGCTAAAAGATGGGAATAGAGATGTGTTTGATTGCAGTGTTGTTTGCACATCTGCCTTCCCATTGGCGAGCCCTGTGCTACGATAGGTTGTGCTTAGACTATCGGAAGCAATATTCGAAAATGGTTTCGGACAGTGGCCTTTGCCGCTTATGTCAGACCCTGTGAAGGAAAAATGTTTCTGTTGAAAAATAATTAATTAAAATTACGAGTTGCCGTCTGTTTGGTCTGCCGTGCCGTTTGGTTTGTAGAGTGCATCTTCTACCTTCATCATGCAAATGTTAAGGCGTTTGGAATTTATCATGATTATTTGCGATAGTTTACATAGATGACGTGTTAATCATGGCAAACTCGGAAGAAAAGGCTTTCCGAAGGCTGAAAGTTGTATTAAATGTGTTGACTGTACCAGGGTTGCCATTTAACGTTACCAAATGTGGGTTTCTTGAACCTACTACGCAGTATCTGAGCTATGAGGTGTGCGGTGGAGAAATCAGACCCAATTCCTAGAAAATCCTTACGTTAAAGGTCCGTCCTTTTAATCGGTGCAATTAAGAGACCGTCGTAAGACCATTTATTGAATTGGTGCCTTATTTTCAAAAACGTGTGCCTCGATTTTCTCAGATCATGAGACAGATTCTTCGGCTTCAAGTATCTTTAAGTGAAATGACGATATTCAGAAATTGGAACGAACGTTTTTAATATTATTACAAATGAGCCTGTAATCGTTATTTGTGGGTTCGAAACATCTGATCAAATTTGAAACAGATATAAGCTCTTGTGGATATGGTCCAATGCTAATACACCTAATTAATGGAGACCCTTATGTTGGTGGATATATTGGTAGAACTATGTGTCTTGTGGAGTCCAAGTAGCCTTTGTATGAATTGGAAATATTGGTTGGCGTGCAATTATTCTGACATTTTTGGCATTGTTTGTTCAGATGAGAGTTTGTAGTCTATACTTATTGCAGATGTAATCATTTCTAAACAAAAAAAAAAAAATTAACTGAAGTGCATCATAGAGTAGAGGAAGAGAAAGCGCAAGGCAATTGTGGAATTCTTTTTGTGTCCAGAATTCACATGACTGATTTAACTCCGATAAATAAAAATAAATTGACAGAAAAACGTCTGAACTTAGAATGGAAATCTCAAATGACCGACTGATCAACTTCAGGATTCAGGATTTATTGGTATAGTTTATAAACAACTAAAAATAATTGAAATTAACTTGAGTTACGAAGAGGGATTTTAAAGAATACAGAGAGGTGTGAGGCAATGTTATCTGCCAGTAGTGTCCCTTAAATTTTGTTGGATAGTTATTAATCAAGGTTATAAATCCGTTATGTGTTTGGGTTGGAAAAAATAGACCCAGCAATATTTATCAGAATTGTTGGAAATGACTAAGTTTAAAGATTGTTGAAAATTGTATCATGTGTAAAGTTGTAAAGTAGTCATCTGGCTGGATACCAGGACCGCAGAGGTGATGGGAAGATGCTCTTGGCGGGGTGCAACTTGCGGCGAACTGCACAGTTAGTAGTGCAACCAATGCAAGCCCTTAAGAGATGCCAATCGGACCCACCCTTTGGGCTTGATACCACCACATGACACAGAGAAAAGTATAAAGAAAGAGAAATTTAAAGTTACGTTATGCTGGTTCGGAAGAGCACTAATTTTGATAGGGCAAGATTAATTTAAAATGAAAAATGAAAATGGAAAATATGTTAAGAATGAGAGAGAAAAGAGAAAGAAATGAAGATGGAAAATGAAAATGAAGATCGGCACCAAACAGAGTTTATAGAAAAGCTTGATGGTGGCTGATATGTTTTGAGATATCTGTCAAGTAAGCGAACTTTTATAAGTATGCGCATGAGTTTTTGAGGGCATAGCCAAATAGACAAAATAAGCAATGACGTTGATTGATTAAAGATTAAAGTTGATTAAAGATTTAGACGACTCAAGTGGAGATGCGTCTGATTCCCATGTGGGGAATGATGATATGGATGGCACGGTTGATGCCTTGGAATCCCAAGAGGGGATATAAAGACCGCACCATAACAGAAGGAATTGTTATGGCGGGGGTCAGTGGAGACCGCACCATAACAGAAGGAATTGTTATGGCGGGGGTCAGTGGAGACCGCACCATAACAGAAGGAATTGTTATGGCGGGGGGTCAGTATGTGGGTGTAAAAGGAAATACACCAGTTGATAAAGCTATGTAATTAGAGAAGTCTGAATTGTAAATTATGATTAAAATGAAGATGTAATTTGTTATGTTATCATGAAACCAAGATGCTTATTTTGTCTAAATGCCTCAATACTTATGTTTAGAAAATTAATGAAATGTTTGTTGACAATAAAATGTAACGAGTACCGAAATTTTAGAATACTGTGATTTAAAGTTAACACACGAGGACGTGTGATTTGTCAGGAAGGCCGTGTCGGATCACATGAAACAGGGCCTACTTTATTCCTATGGTCAGAATATGTGAAGCGGAGCCTTTTGAAATACGAAAAGAGCTTGTACTCTATGGTTTCGAAAGGTTATCCTGCCAAACTAACATTTGAAGACACTAGAAGTGTAAGCGAGAGATCGCCGACTGAGGCACTCGTTGGTGGAATCATTTATAAGGCTGTGAGGGTCCAGAGAGACCGTGACGCAAGAGGTGCGTGTGAGCGTTGCAAAGTGTGCAGCAAGAGCCTGTATAAATTGATGAAGAGATGTTGAGTAAGAGTTGTGGTACGAGCAGAGAAAGAAGATACAGATTTGGTACGAGAAGAGAATGAAGTGGCGAGAAGAAATAAAAGTAAAGCTTATTTGACATGAATAAAACAGATAAAATGAAATGTTAAGTTGAGACCAAAGAGAGAAAAAAAAGAGAGAATGATAAATGAAAATGACAGTTATGTTTAGAGCTATTAGAAGACACGTCACGCGAGGACGCGTGAATTGTCAGGATGGCCGTGTCGGCGAGTTGGTTGCTAAGTGCAAATTTGGAAAGCTTGTTGCTATGGCAACAGAACTATTCGGCATGCTCAGGTATTGGTAGCCTGTAGGTGTCGCTGGCGCGCAGGCGCAATGACAGTTGAGTCGGTAACAGGAGTGTTACTGAGTGAGGTCTGTTCGTCTGTCGCAACAATAGGAGAGAATGAGAGAGACAGCTTGAGATTGTCTAGGAATGACATCTGAGTGAAAAGTAAGAAAAGGTGAAAGGGCCACAGGAAAAGTGGCGTGATGACAGATTCGATTTGACTGCGCAGGCGAACAGAACTCGCTGGCTCGACTACGGTTAAATTAAATAACGGATATCTCTGACATATTTATATTTTCGATATATACCTAAAAAGAGTAAATGGGAATTTAAATTAACTTTACTTAATAATTTATAAGTTTCAACAAATATTTATCATTTATTCCAACAAATGCCTAAATAGACAAGGAATTTATTAATTTTTTACCTCATTGTTGTTTGCTTTTCCGGTCAGGCCCCTTGGGGACACGGAGACATCTCTGGTTAAGTGCTGGGACCCATCGATTGACCGTGAAATCCGTCGGCGAGGGTCAAACAGGCAACGTGCGAAAATAAGTGAACGAAAAGCGAATTCGGGGTAAACCTTGGGTACATGTCCACGCTCCAAGCTCTCTGTGCACCATGCTCCAGTTTATACGCCTCGAGCCGCGAATCTCAAGCATAATTGAGATTGTCAAACGCCCCGTCAAGTGGGACCTGTCAGCAGGTAAAAACTGAAATAAAGAGAAAACGAATGCTGAAAAATTAGTTAGCCGTGTTTGCTAATGAAGAATTGGAAATACTCTAGATTTTTAAATTTATATATTTTTAAGGGGTTTATTTTATATACAAATTGTACTTATTAATATTGTTGATATATAAAAAGAGTAGATAAAATTCTGAATTCTCATAGCTCAGAATGAGTTCTGCGTAATTTTTGTCTTAATAAAAAAATATAAATAAAAACAAAAAGAAAATTTTAAGAACTACAATATCAATCTTACAATCTTGGTTGTTAACAGGAACTATAAAATTGATTCAATAAACAAAACAATTTGTAAACTAAACTCACATAACTCCATAAAATATAAATAATTTATAAAATTGGCTTGATTGCTTACCAATTTATAATTCTGAAGTTATCTTTCTCCTCATAATGATATACCTTTTCCGGAGATACAATTGCTTTCACAAGCGACCAAAATAGCACTTATTGTTTTTCCAGAAAACTATTTATAAACTGTTTATTGTTTTTAGTTAGGTGGCTTCCTTGTGGGCCCCGAAAATGATAATTACCCGCTGCAAGGGTACCCAAATAGCCAAAAGCGGCTTAAACTGAGTCCAATTGAGGCTTCGGATCGGATCGGATTGGTTTGGTGTGGTGGTGCCTGGCTTGGCTTGGGGGCCAGTGGCGATGATTCAGCTCGAATACTCGAATATTTGTTTGATTGTTTGTCGAGATGAGCCAAAACAAAAACGAAAAAATCATAACCAAGACCAAAAAACGCCGGCGACAAATCGATGGACTGAGCAAATAACGGAACCCGAGTACCCGAGCCCACTACCTAAACCCCTTGACCATTGACTGGGCCAACTGAAGGCCTCCTCGGAGGCTGTGCTCGTATAAATATCATCACATCCATCTCTTCCGACATCAGACGCTTCACAGCCAAACATCCAACAAGATGGTGAGTATTTGGCAAGGGAATACCGCCAGCAGGATAACTAAGAGTCAAAGGATATTAACTATACATCGATTTTTTAACTTTCCTTATTGTAAATAAATTTCTTAAATTTCTTAAATTTCTTTCTTAAAATTAAATAAATTAATTTAAATTTACAACAGAAATCCTTCTGCCTGACGCTTGCTCTGTGCGCCTGCCTGGCCGCCGCAGATGTGTCTCACCTGCCCAGCAGCTCCTACCTGCCACCTCCACGTCCGGAGCAAGCTGTCTCCATGAGCATTGAGCAGCAGGAGTTGCGTGAGCTGCCCGAACAGGTGGAGTACATGCGGGAGAACGAACATGGCCAGATGGAGGCCATGCCCAGCAGCCTGCTAACGCCCCCAGCTCCAGTAGATCAGCCGGAGGAGGCCGTGCCCGCCACTCGCTACCTGCCACCTGCTCCGGTTCAGCCTCAAATGGATGCCGAGCCCATGATGATGCCCCAGATGGAGATGGAGATGGCACCCCAGGAAGCCGCCATGGAGCAGCTGCAGCAGGCTCAGCCTGCCATGCGCTACCTGCCGCCCGCACCGGTTGCCGAGCAAAACCAGCAGCTTACCTACCAGCAGTTCCAGGAGCAGATGCAGCAGTTCCAGATGCAGCAGCAGGAACAGGAGCAGCAGCAGCAGCCAGCCGAGGAGCAGATGCCCTACATTCTGGATGTGCAGCAGCCCATGGCCCCCTCCGATGCAGAGACCCAAGAGCACCTGGAACCAGAGCCCGCCCACGAGCTGCGTGCCGATGGCTACCACTACAAGCAGGCTGAGGAACAGCGTCGTCTGCGCCATTAAGTCATTCGGAGAATTGAGTCACCGCTTGGCTAGCACCGAGATATCCGGCCATGAGTCATGCGATTGTTGTTAAATGTTTAGTTGCTTAGTTCTTAGAGACCCGATTAAATTTCGATTTGGAAGAGAGATGTGTGTGCTTGTTTTTGATTCCATCTGTTTGGGATTCTGGTTAGTCACAGTTTGGATAAAGCTAGATTGTTTCATTTTTATTGGAAGACTTGAAAGCCCATTAAGCCGATTTTTACATAAAAGCTAATGCCATAATAATATATAATTTATAACCCCTTTTCTATTAAAAGTAATCCCAAAAGAGATATCGCACTTTATTAAACCCATTTTTCGTCGATATATATTCCAAAGACAACGCATTTCGTATTTCAGCGTCTGACCCCACGAGCACCCAACAAAACTTCCCCAATATCTCCTTAAGCCAATCCACCAGCTCCATCTCCCGCTGCAGCTTACTCTACATCCTCGGCGCCGCCGCCCTCCTCCTCCTCCTCTTCGTTCTCCACGGTGGCTCCTTCGCGCAGCATCTCCACCTTGTGAATGCTAAAGTCGATGTTGTAGAAGGGCACGTTTAGGGTGACCACGATGCAGTAGAGCAGCACCTGGAGGTGGCGGGTGCGCAGCATATAGGAAGCTCCCTGCAGTTTGGGGAACAGCGGATGGTCCTTCTCCTGGCAGTCATACATAAAGTATCCGCCATCGTGGCCCGGACAGAATCCGATGGCCAGCGCCCTCTTGCGCACAGTCACGATGCCGAACTGGTAGTGGCTGAAGAAGAAGATCAGCGCCTCGGAGAGATTCATCCGATTGAAGGTGGGCACACGGTACAACTTGCCATAGCACACGTGCTCGATATGGACCACAAAATTGATGGTATCCATGGAGCAGTCGATGTTGAGGTTCTCCAGCGAGAACTCGTAGTCCTCCGCATGGATCTGGTCGATGCTCTCCTTGAAGTACTTGCTACCGCTGACCACGATGGTGTCCAGGAGGTGGGGACTCCAGTCCATCAGCCGGTAGACGCTGGCCGCACAGCAAGCCATCACGTAGCAGCCCAGGTACTGGCGACCGCGTAGCTCGTCGTCAAAGACCGGCGCCTCAGGATGCAAATTGCCCCACAGCGACCAGAGCCGGCCCTCGATCTCCACGTCGAACTTCTTGATCTTGGTGATGGGCAGGTTGCGGTACTTGCCAGCCGTGTTCCTCCTGTTCAGCCTGCTCCAGACGGGCAGGCAGTTCTCCAGCTCCAGCCAGCCCAGGGACTCGTTGGTGGCGCAGATCTCGTACTCCGGCTGGCCGTACTGCTTGTTTGAGCAGGTCATGGGTATGGAGAGATCGGTGAGGAGCTGCAGGATGCGGGCATTCGGTGCGGCCTTCTTGTGGGAGAGGACATCCACCACGAAGAACTTGTAATTGTCCTTCTCCTTCCAGTCCTTGGCGGCCACCCGCGTGTCGATGTACTTAAGCAAGGAGTCTATGTCGTAGAGGAGCACCCAGGAGGCGGTGTTTCGCTCGGGCCATCGCTTCGGTCCCTTTGGGCAGCGCTTCTTCTTCTTGCCGCCCTCCTCATCGCCATCGTCCTCCTGCTCCTCCTCCTCGCCATCGCCGGGCTTCTCCATGCTGCCGTAAGGATCGAACACGTGGAAGAACTCGTCGTGGTAGATGGCATAGCTGCCATTGGGCGTGAAGAGGATCAAGTACTTGCGCACCTTCAGCACCTTGTTGAACTTCTTCTTGAAAAGCATGAGACCGGTCTCCGGGGATCCGGGATTCTTAATGGGCTTCGGTGTCCACATGCCCAGCACCTGGAAGGTCCGAATCCAGATGTCGAACTCGTAGTCGTCGATGGTCACGTGACGGACGACGCGCTCATAGGCGGACTCCATCTCACAGACACCGGTGGCTATGCTCTTGGCATTGCTGATCACGCGGTCGATGCGGTACGAGTTCCACTGGTTCAGCGGGCGCAGGGAGCAGCTGAGGATGGCCAAAGCGGAGGCGAAGTAGCACGGCTTGATCGTGTCGAACGTGCCGTCCCCGCGTCCCTCCAATGCGACGCTTCCCTGGATCTTGAAGTTGCAGTCTTTCTCACGCATCCTATAACCGAACATAATGGGTCGGGGCTTGTACTGACGCCGCAGCTCCCTGGGCATCTTCTTGCCAGGCTTGTGCTTCAACTCCACTTCACCCTCGCCCTCTTCCTCACCCTCCTCCTCGCCCAGGTCTTCGTCCTCCTCGCCTTCCTCGCCCTCGCCTTCGTCGATGCCAGTGTCCCTGTATTCGGGCTTGGCTGCAAGGATTTAATGAAATGGTATTAGAAAAATAATATTTCATATTAAATTCCTAGTGTTAACTAATAAAAAAAAATGTATATAAGCTCTTTTAAAAGGTAAATGATAGGTTTAATTTCAATATAAACCTTTGATTTACCTGATAAAAAATGACCTACAAATATTAAAATAAAAATACTATTCATTGACAGCTAAGTAAAAACAAAGATCTAACATAAATAATCTTGAAAATACCAAAGAGTTCTAGGAAAATATTTATAAAACTTGATTACTACCTTTTTCTAGGAATAACTCGCAACTAAATTTGACCTATAAATAAATTGTTAAAAATCCTATATATTGTTTTAAAAGCAACTAAGAGCATTTTTCTTTATACCTTAAATGGATATTAAGTAAATCCTAACCTAAATCTAACCCAAATAAATTATAAATACTCACGTTTCTTTCCGGCCTTCCGGTCCAAGTGCTCCTGCTTCGCCTTCAGGAACGCCTGAATGCGCTCGTTCTCCTTCTTAAGCTCCTCGTCGATATAGCGCATCTTCTCCAGCCGCTGGTCATTTAGCTTCTTCTGCCTGGCCTTCTCCAGCTTGACCTCTTGGTCATCGTCCGCCTTGTTCCAGTATCTGAAACGTTGTTTTATGTTGTTGTCCACCATAACGATGCAGGCCACGATGAAGTTCATTACGGAACAGCCCTGAGGATTGCAGCCGAACTCTATGCGCTTGATCAGGGCGTCCAGCTCCAAGAAGCGGAGGAGACAGGCTGGACCGGATCCGCCCTTCCTGTAGCCAATAGCATTGCACGGAAAACCGATGAACATGTACACGAAGTTATAGCGTTTGAAGATCACGCAGGAGAAGCGCTGGCAGATGAGCAGCAGCCGGTTGTTGTCCACCAGAAGATCAACCAGAACCTGGCGCAGGGGTACCATGATGGAGGATTTGACCACCTTCTTCACCTCCAGGGTGAAATTGCTCATGCCAATGGCGATGTCCGGCAGCTTCTTGGCCAACAGGCAGGCCAGGACGTTCTCATAATCCTGGTAGTCCTCCCCAAAGCTGTTGACCGACTCTAGCGCGAACTCAATGAGGTCGGAATTCCAGGTGGAAAGCTTGTACTTCGAGGACACCGCCATGGCCACCAGGCCAGCCAGCAAGCCACCCAGCTTGGCCATCTCCTCGTCCACTTGGGGCAGGTATGTGGTGCCCATGATTATCCAGGAGCCATCCGGCAGCTGCTTAAAGTTGCTCTTGAGAGCCACCTCCTCCTCCACGGTGAGCACGCGCTTCGGATCTTCCTCCTCCTCCTGTCCCAGCTCGTAACCGCGCTTGATCTTCAACCGCAGAGCTCTGAGGTTTTCCTGGTCCGTGCGCAGCAGGACCTTCTGGGCAGGCTTATAAAGGTGAGGCCTCTTCAACTGTGGTTCCGGCAGCTCCTTGATAATACTATTGATGATCATGTTTATCAGTTCATCCACCATCTCGTTCTCTTCGACGGTGGGGAAGCGCTCCTCCTCCGGAATGCTCTCGATGCTCTTCTTCTGCTTCAGCTCAGGAAGCGGCGGTTCGTCCGTGAACGTGGGCAGACCCATTTTAAGATTCTGGAACTTATTCGCCTGCGTAGTTATCACCTGCAGCGGTCGGACGCATCCCGTTCGGATGCCGTGGATGAAGAACTTGCCGCCACGTCTCATCTTCAATGCATTCCGGTACAGCACACGGACGAAGGAGTCGAAGGTGGCGTGCATCTGCAGCACGGCCAGACCCTTGATGGTATAATCATCGGGATCCACCACCAAACCAGTGCGGTTCCTGCGGAAGGGATCGAACACGTAGAAGAACTCCCTATCGCGCCACACGGCCAGTACGGAGTTGTCGATCTGTAGGAGCGCCGCTGGCCAGTTGGGCAGGTTGAAGAGCTGGTGTAGCGCCATTGTCAGCTGGGAATCCAAATAGCTTCTGCAGTCTGCCACGTGTCCGTTGATCATGAAGGGATACTTGCGAACGGTGGCCTTGAAGGCCCCCATCAGGAACATCTCCGGCAGATCCACAATGTTCAGGTGGGGTTTCTTGTTCTTCCAGCGCTTGCCGTCCAGTCTGAACTTCTTACGCAGGGTCTTGTAGTAGGCCACGCCGTACCGCAAGATATCATCGACGGTGCCCGGTTTCCACAGCTTGGCTAGCTCGAATTCTGAATAAATCAGCGCTATCAGGGATACCACCAGCGAGGCGTTCTTCTCATTGCCAGAGATGGGCTGGTGGATGCCACCCGTGGCTGCTGTCTTTACCGCAAAATGCTCATTGACCACCGACCACAACTTGTGATACGACTCGTCCTCGGCCTTTGTATAGGGTTCCTCCTTCAGCTTTCCGTACTGTGTCAGCGCTATCTCAAAGATATTGAACTCGTCATCGGGCTGCAGGTCACTGAACTTGCTGATCAGGTGCACCAGGTGCTCGGTGAATCGTGTGGCCATCAGCGAGCATTTCCCCTCCTCGAAGTCTCGCTCGCATTGGTCGTTGCGCCCGTTGGGATCGAAGATGTAGTACGAGTTTAGGCAGCGCTTCCAGATGAGCAGGAAGAGATCGCGGGAGGTGAAGATACAGGCATTGTACTTGGAGAAGAACAGTGACAGAGCCTTGAACATATTGGGCTCGTTCTTCAGCAGCCCCGAGAAGTGAATCTTGATCTGCACGGCGGCCTGACGTTCGGCCACCTGGGGGATTATATCAAAGTCGTTCACCTCCGACTTAAAGTTTAGGGCGGCACTCTTCTTGGTCAGCTTCACGCCGCGCTTAAGGATGCCGTCCATAGTGGAGCCAGTCCAGAAATCCGGGTTCAGGCGGAAGCTCTCCACGAAGGCAATGATAATGGCCCCAATCTCGCTGGGCCGGTTATAGTATCTACGTGTGAGAGAATTATTATATATAATTAAATTTTGAGTTTAAGAGTTCATCACTATCTTCTATCTTCTCAATTATATATTCAAGGATCTGAAGCTTGATTCTTATTCTTATTAACTTACTGTAAGCGATAGGACTCTTGCTTCGGCTCTGGATAAATGTTTCGAGTCCCAAACACAATCTCAGCGGTAAAGGTCTTTTCCAATTGATTGGGAATGTTATAGAGCGTAAGTTCGCCGTCGTTTTCTGCAAAATTTAGATGGAACTAGTTAAGTGTAAGGCCCTATTGAAGGACAATCCCTTTTAGATACACACCATATTTCGGCAGGGAAGCGTTGATAAAGTCCTGATCCAGTTCCTCTTCGCGTCGTTGATAGCCCACGTTCCAGGTCCACAGATCCTCTGGGCTGCAACCTTCGATGAGGTCATAGGTCTTGAGGTTATCAGTCTCTAAGCCCTCTTGCAGGACACGGGGATTATAGGAGGGGAAGGGTAGTTCCTCCAAAGGACCCACTTCCGTCTCGTTCAGGTAGATACGACTCTTGGGACGCTTTAGCTCCAGCTAAGCAAGGATTGAATATGATAATGAAATGAAATGATACATAAGGAGACTATAAATAAAAAAAATGTATCTTTATCGATACATATACAACCCACTGTTTTGTAAAATTAATAATTTCTTAAAAGTAATATGTTAAAGACGTTTTAAAATATTTAAAGTAATGCATAACCTCGCTTAATGACGTTACTAATTAATGTCCTAATTAGCCTAAGCTCATTTTCAAAACATCTGGGATTACTGTATCATCGAAAGTTGCTGTTTGAGGCCAAGTAATATTAGGATATGCAGGCCATCTAAATTATTCAGCAATCAAATAGTTTTACGCTGGCAATTGTGTAACATATGGCCAGTTATCGGCGCTTGGCTCTGTGCAAGCTCTGTGCTTTCACTCGGCGACTCTGTTTTTGTGTTTTCCTGCCCATGGCCATAAGCTTTTAATGCGACTGAAAATAGCACGCATACGCCACCGATGCCCGACGTAGTACGTCCCCTATATAGAGCGTGCGTGTGTGTGTGTGTGTGAGTGTATAGTATATGTACGGACGTACGGACAGACGGGAGGCCTGTTTGTGTTCGCTTTTTTCTACTTTACTTCTCTGCGCTCATCAAGAAGTTAGTAAGCGGCATAAGGTAAGCACGAAATGCCAACTAGACTGACTATAACGACCTGATGTCGCCGCGCGCGCTATATGTGGGCCTGCCCGGGTGCCAGTGTGTGGGTAACGGGCTACGGCTGTGTCTGTGAGGGCCTCTATGGCTGGCTGGCCACAAAGCAGAGCTGACGGCCACCAAACAGAGGCGTCCAATGCACAGAGCAGTGAACAACGAGCAGCGCTTAGTGCCACATCACGGAATCTTATCGCTCTCGTTCGACAAACCCAGCAAAACTGAAAACCGAACTGAAACCCGAACCCGGACCCGAATACCCGCTATACAAATACGAGGCTGCCTCGGCTGCAGAACAAACAAGTCATCTAGCGTGCTGCAGCAACAACAAGAACAACAAGAACAGCAACAACAGCGGGCAAAGCAGTACGGCAACGGACCAGGTGAGCCAGGTGAGCGGCGCAGTATCGCGCAGTTATAGCATACGACCACGTCAACAGCAGGCAGGCCACCGGCCACCACTACCAAAGCCAAGGCGCAGTCGGCCAACAAGTCGCCAGTTTCACTACGCAACCCTCGCTGGCAAAATGTCAAGCCAGATGGAGGGGTTATCCAACAAGATCTTTTGTACCGAGAGCAGGTGCTGAGTTGGAGTTCTTTAGAAACAGGCTTTCTTTCTGAAGGGAATGTATCCAAGGACAGCTAAAGATCCTTTAAAGCTCTTTACAGCCTGAGGTCAAATAAAGGTTTTATATAGGAGCTATGGCTTGATTTCCATTTTAAAATAACATATTAATATAATCCTAAGCTCTATCTTATTTATGATTATAATTAATATTAAGCACTAATAGCATCTAGCAAATGAAATCATCCCTTATCAAAGGCCTTCTTCATTGATTTTATATCAAGAACACGTTGTTAGTACGAAAAACAGGTGGAAAAAGGAACCTGGCGACGTAATCAACTTAAAGGCATCTGTTTCCATCACAGTGCTGAGGCAGCAAAAGCAATCTCGGTGATGACTTGGAATTCGAATTAAAATTGGTATTTGCCAGGTGCAGCCGCCTAACGAAGCCCAGTTACAGATACAGACACACATTTAAGTGCATACGTAAAGCTAAAGTGTGCAAGCAAACAAGAGGCCTCTGGCGGCGCCACTGTGAAAAGGGAATGGCACAAACAGGGGCGTAGTAAACACAAGAAGGTGCTCCAAAGAGGGGGCTAAGCGTGAGGTTAAGGGTTTTAAATATTAGGATTTTTTTGGGTCTAAGGACACTTGTAAAAAAGGATATTTCTTAATTTAGCGTAAGAAGATTATTCTGATAAAACCCTGACTTGGGAAACAGTTTTTAATCAAATGTTTCCCTCAAGAAGCCTTTTAATGGCATTCCAAAGGGTTTACCTCAAAGATGTTAAGTCAAACAGAGAGGTGAATCGATAAGGCGCCACCACGATGGAAGCCCATAAAACATTAAAGCGTGTTTATATCACTTCCAGTATCAGACGAAACGAAAAGAAACGAATCGTTCGAAGCACTTCACTCTCAGTAGACAGGCTCTTATCTGAAACGCAAAAGTAATTAGCCAAGATAGAGCGCTCTTTCTGCGTGGAGAGCTACATTTGCAAAATAGAAATCGGATGTTAATCGTTAACCCAGCCACCCCCTCCTAACCACGCCCACTCCACTACACGCCCCCCCGACAACAACAATCGAAACATAACAAACAACACACACTCGCGGCAAAACGCAGACGCAAGTGAAACAAAAGCGAAGCGACAGCAACCGCACTGCTTTTGCATACATGTATGCACAATGCACAGTGCACTAGACCAAACAACACAGACACCTGCGGTCAAAAATACATTTACAAGGCTAAAAATAATAATAGCAGTAGATTATTAAACTTGTTTAAGTATTTGCCTGAAAATTGCATTAAAAAATACTTTACCTATATGGTTTTGAAGCTTTATAAATTTAATTGTGCATTTAAATTTACCAGAAATCGCATTTGAAGCTAAGACAAATAAAAACTATTTATTAAATTTAGTATAAGCATCATAAGCCCCGACTATAATAATCACACCAATAATGCAGCATACATAAAGGGAAGGACATTGGCTCTTGGAAAATACCTAACTTAATTTCTATAAGTGTCCTGCAAGAGTATTTTTAAATAATAACACGTTAACTAAACCTTTCTGTATCTATATACATCGACGTTTTTAATATTAATTTAATATTAATATTAATATTTTACCTTGTGACAGTATATTTATGAACGACAATTATTTCGTTATAAAGATCAAGTAATTAATTATTCCTTAGAGTCCAATCTAATCTTAATCGATCACCAAAATCTTTTTAATCATCTGATCTTAAATATTTAATTATATTCACGAGCGTTTAAAATCGCCCCTCCGTCCTTTTAGTCATTTTAAAATCCCATTGCTACTAGTTTTTTGTTCGCCGCTGTATAACCGTAACAGCTGCAAGTGTCATTTCTGTTGCTACAACAACAACGGCCGAAGCCGATGCGAAACAACAACAAACACACCACCAAAGGGACTGTGAGCGCATAGCGAACCGTTTTTATTTCATACGAAATACGGAGCCAGCGACGAGCTAACGCACACAGTCGAAGGCGCGGGCAGAGGAACAGGAAAGAGTACAGAGGAATGAGCAACGAGGAGAGCGGAACCAAAAGCAGGGCACAAGTGTTATTGCTCAGTAATTGTAAAAATGTCAGCGCCACAACAACAGAAATAAGCTAATACACAAACGAATTAGAGAACGTGCTTCGTGCCAGCAAAACAATGTGACTAATAACTCTTTGCCATTTGCATGGCCGGTATTAATAATGGTTTTATTTCTGTTTTATTGCGTTTTCTTTAGTGCTTCGAAAGGAATAGCCGCAGTCCACGTTTACACCCACACACTCTCTGGTTGTCTCTCTCTGAAGCCTGTTCGTTGCAAAGAGAAGAGGCGTAGGTGAGAGCGAGGCAACAACAACAGCGCAATTGGCTCGCAGGAAGCTGCTGCGCAGTTTGCGGAAAAGAAGAAGAGAAGCCAGAAAACCACAAAACTAGTTGAAAGTCTGAATTGAAGTAGACAATTGAAATGGCAGCCATAGCAGCATTACCAACGGCGACGCTGCGGCGCAACAATAACAACAAAGGGGTAAGTCCCAAGTGGAAGCCAGATATGTTAACTTGGCCTTTAAGCGGTCCTAGGAGGGTGGATTTTATAGCTTGTGGCCAACAGACAAACACGCGCGTCATCCAAAGACGCACAGGAACAATTACGTAATTGTGTTTGTACATACACTATACATATACATGCATACATATGTATATATGTATGTTTGTAGATCTCGGTTAAAAGTACTGCCTTTGTGCAGTGGAGTCAAGGATTCTTGTAGAGGTTAAACAAGGACACCTTATTAATTAAAGAGTAACTCAAATCATTGCCTGTTTTTAGCAGCTATATACAGGAAATACATAATAAAGAGAGATTTTTACCTAACATTAAACATGTTAAAATCGTTCTATCCTCTAAAAATGTAAAATGTGTGCATAAAAACAATAATTCGAGGAAGCCTTAGATCTCCTTAACTACAAAACAATTTAAGTAATGGCCAAAAGTATGCTATAAAATATTATGCCTAAAAGGAAACAGAAGGATGTGACCCCTAAAGGTTTTTTTGCTTCAGTTCTTATGTATCTAAAACCCAATTCTTATTAGTCTATATAAGAAATGAATTTTTTAATTAAATATTTTAACCTATATTCCCCAGGCCAAATCCCGTCGCAATGAACGTAATATCCTTACATTCTACGAGAAGATTGCCGTTATCCGTTACTATGAGGAGACCAATATATCAAGAAACAGTCTGGCCAAAATGTTCCACTGCTGCGCCACCCAAATACGTCGCATTCTGGAGAAAAAGAAGGAGCTGCTCCAGCAACTGGCCACCTTGAGCGAAGCGGATGCCTCTATAATAATTGAGGAGATGACGCGCAAGCGTCGAAAGTTCGAAATGAGCGCCATTAGTTTCTTGCTCCACGAGTGGGTTGAACGATGCCGACAACTCCACCTGAACCTGAGCATCCGTAATCAGAAGCTAAAAGAAACCGCCCTAAGGATGGCTGCCGTTCTAAACCTGCCCTCCTTTAGACCCTCCTACCGCTGGCTGAATCGCTTCCGCGGAAAGTACAAGTACGAGGAGGATGACTTGGGCTACCAGGGTGAGAATCCCATCTCGCAGGACCTGCCCGTCGAGGAGATCATTGTGGAGTTTAAGCAGGCTCTACCCAACTTCATGCAGCGCGAGCTGTCCGACCCGGCTGAAGGCACCGCCAACAACAAAGGACTACTGCCCAAACTACCCGACTTGGTGAATCTGTCCAGCGAGAACAGCCTGATGTCTGACCACCTCGAGGAGGGCGATGACGAAGTCGTAGAGGTGGTCACCTGTGAACCCAGCATGCTGGATTCACCGGCCAGCCTGCCGGACGAAGAGGAAAACCCCACTGAAGAGCAGCCCAATTCGGATGAGCAGATGATAGCCGGCACCAGCACCTTGCTCAATGGCGTCTTTCCCCACCTGGCCATCATCCACCAGTTCGCACTGATGAACTCGGACATTAAGGCCTTGGAGTTGATTTCGCAGCTGGGCGTGCACATGCAGCAGCAGGCTGCTTCGGGAGCTTACCGCACCCTCTCGCTGGCCACGAGCACAGAGTCCGGAGCGAATCCCGACATTAGCTCCCTGCCGGAACTACCACCGGGCAGTATATATGCAGACATCGATGACATCGAGCTGATCGAGTAAGAGCACCAAATACCAAGTCTAATCCTAAGCTAGCCTTACCTTCAATGCCATAAGATAGTCGGTTTATTTATAGCCAGAGGAAGTAATCATTTTAAGTTATTTTAAGATGTGCGATTAAGTCTATCGTCAACCGAGTTGAATTACAAATAAAATTAATGGAAACCAACAGTTTTGTGAGTTTATAAAGGTATACAAATCTTTACTCACCATTCGCTTGTCCGGAACGATGATCATGTCCGAGCTGCACTCAGGTGTGGCTTCTTGCGGCTTAACCTCCGATTCCTCCTCCTCGGCCCCTTCGTCCTCTTGTTCCTCCTCTCCCATGTCCATGGGACTGTTGAGAACAACGAGATCTTTGGGACACTTCCGCGCCAACTTCGCATCGTGCTCGACTAGCCCAAAATCCTTGCGGGCGGCTAGGAGGCGCTCACGCATCTCGGCGTGTACCTTCAGCTCGGTGGGAGTTCGCTGCGGAATGATGCACATGGTGTGCTCGTCGTAGAGAGCGCAGGTCTTTTTGAACGGACGGATGAAACGCGACTCCTCCGCCTTCTGGTTGATACGGCGCAGCTCATCTTCGATGGTCAGGACTTGGGAGATCGTGGAGTTTTGCGGCTTTTTCTGGCAGACACGGTCGCGGGGCGGGCAGTTCTCCGCCTTCCATTCCGGCGTGGTCTCATTGCCAAGGTAGGTGCGCACCTCGTACGGGTTCTTCGAGGGACTGCATTCCGCGTTCACTTCCACGAATTTTTTCAACATTTTTGCAAAAACACTAACGATTTTGCAGTATCGATGGGAATAAAACTAGAAATTTGGTAGTAGCACGACGCGTTCGTTGTGTTTCAAGGAAAGCATTCAAGTGAAAGTGTTTCCGGTTGAAAGGAAGAGCAATGTTTTTAAGATTCAAGAATTTTTAAAAATATTTGGTGATTAGGTTTTACAAAAAGAAAACAAAAGTCATAAAAAACGTGAAGTAAAAAATTTTTCAGACTCAAACAATTATTACATTAAATGCATTAAAATTAATTTAAATAAATTATAACAAGAATATAAAAAAAAGTTTTGTAGTTATATTCTTAAAACAATTTTTATGTTTATTTTGTGATTGTTATTTAATTATTATTTCCAATTTTAAGAATCATATAATAGATTTGTGCTAGTTGGACTAATTAAAACGGATAAAATAAAGCAAATTAAAAAAAATCTGTTAAGTACCTTTTTTAATTTAAATTTAACGCTTATTATTGCACGTTCACAATAGATAGAGTAAAGGGTCACACCATCGAATTCGTATAGCATCGTTAGCATAGTTTTGCACCTTTTGAGCCACAACTGTTTAAAAGTTTATTTAACATAGATATTATCATATTAAACCCTTTTGAGTAATGACAAATTTCAAATAACTTATTTATTTATAAAACTATCACCAAGTTTCTTTTTAATTCTCTTGTTAAACATTGTATTTTTCTTACGTCATTTTGCTTACGTTGCTTAGCCTTTTCCTACACCTTTTTTATGACGGTTTACAGCAGTTTATCCAAGTTCTCAGCCCTTATTTTTACCGCGTTTTACTGGTTTTTACATCTGGTCACACAAAGCTAAGTTGGTCACACCACGATCGAGCGCATTTTTGGCGGGAAGCATTTTCTGTGTTTTCCTCGCATTTTCCCGCAAACAGCGTCCGCAAAAACAACTTTGGCTTGCAGCTGCGCTCAGTTTAATTGTTCTGTTTTGTAAATTCAAGAGATTAAAACAATGGCCCGACGAGACTACGCCCAGGATAGAGGTGAGTGGAAAAGGTGGCTTAATATCAGTCAGAAGAACTACAACATTTCGTTTATCAACCGCATAGAGTCCATTAAAACCTTCCTGTCGGAGTTTTGCAAGTGCGACGATGACGGCAAGAAGGAGTTTGTGTACGGCTCCCAGCTGGTGAAGCTGGCCCATCGCGAGCAGGTCCTCATCACCATCGATCTGGATGACTTGGCGGAGTTCAACGAGAGCCTCGCGGAGGCGGTGATGGACAATTGCCGGCGGTATGCGGCCATTTTTAGTGATGTGATTGCTGAGCTGCTGCCCAGCTACAAGCAGCAGGAGGTGCATGCCAAGGATGCACTGGATGTGTACATCGAGCATCGTCTCATGATGGACGCCCGCACCAGGAATCCCATGGAGCAGCGCGACGAGCGGAACAGCTTCCCCTCGGAGCTGATGAAGCGATTGTAAGTGTTGTTAAGAAAACTTTTAAACCTTATAACCTTAACCTTAACATAATCCTTCCAGCGAGGTTGGCTTCAAGCCTCAGTCCACGGAGAAGGCTCACTCCATACGCGAGGTGAAGGCCCAGCATATTGGCAAACTGGTCACTGTTCGTGGCATCGTCACCCGCTGCACTGAGGTGAAACCCATGATGGTGGTGGCCACGTACACTTGCGATCGCTGCGGCTCTGAAACCTATCAGCCGGTCAACTCGCTCTCCTTTACCCCCGTCCACGACTGCCCGTCGGACGATTGTCGCGTAAACAAGGCGGGCGGCAGGCTGTACCTGCAGACGCGCGGCTCCAAGTTCATCAAGTTCCAGGAGCTGAAGATGCAGGAGCACAGCGACCAGGTGCCCGTTGGCCACATTCCCCGCAGCATGACGGTACTGTGCAGGGGTGAGGTGACCCGAATGGCCCAACCTGGCGATCACATAGTCGTCTCGGGCGTGTTCCTGCCGCTGGTGCGTAGCGGGTTCCAGCAGATGCTGCAGGGTCTGCTGTCGGAGACCTTTCTGCAAGCCCATGTAAGTGAATTTACAGATTTTTATGGTATTTTCCTTGATTTTGCATCACCTGAATCCCCTTCAGCGCATCATTTGCATCAACAAAAACGATGAGATCTCGGACAAGGACGCCGAACTCACACCCGACGAGCTGGAGGAGCTGGCCCAGGACGACTTTTACGAGCGCCTGGCCACCAGCCTGGCCCCCGAGATCTACGGCCATTTGGATGTGAAGAAGGCTTTGCTACTGCTGCTGGTTGGAGGCGTGGACAAGCGGCCGGACGGCATGAAGATTCGCGGCAACATCAACATCTGCCTGATGGGCGATCCCGGTGTGGCCAAGTCCCAGCTGCTGGGCTACATTAGCCGCCTGGCGATACGTTCGCAGTACACCACAGGCCGTGGATCCTCCGGAGTGGGTCTTACGGCTGCCGTGATGAAGGATCCCCTCACTGGTGAGATGACTCTCGAGGGTGGCGCTCTGGTCCTGGCCGATCAGGGTGTGTGCTGCATCGATGAGTTCGACAAGATGGCGGACACGGATCGTACGGCCATTCACGAGGTGATGGAACAACAGACCATCTCGATAGCCAAGGCTGGCATCATGACCACGCTGAATGCACGCGTCTCCATTTTGGCAGCTGCCAATCCCGCCTTCGGTCGCTACAATCCCCGTCGCACCGTCGAGCAAAACATCCAGCTGCCGGCGGCCCTGCTCTCGCGTTTCGATCTGCTCTGGCTCATCCAGGACAAGCCGGATCGCGACAACGATCTGCGACTGGCCAAGCACATCACGTACGTGCACAGCCACAGCAAGCAGCCGCCGACGCGGGTCAAGGCGCTGGACATGAATCTCATGCGGCGCTACATCAATCTGTGCAAGCGCAAGAACCCCACCATTCCCGATGAGCTCACCGACTACATTGTGGGCGCCTATGTGGAGCTGCGACGGGAGGCGCGCAACCAAAAGGACATGACCTTCACCTCAGCCCGTAACTTGCTGGGCATCCTGCGGCTGTCCACCGCCTTGGCCCGTCTGCGTCTCTCCGATCGCGTGGAGAAGGACGATGTGGCCGAGGCCCTGCGTCTGCTGGAAATGTCCAAGGACTCGCTCAATCAGATCCACGAGCACCAGAAGGGACAGTGAGTACTACACAGCTTTTTATCTCTATTTTTTGTGCTGACTCTTGACTATTTTTTACAGTGTTCCCAACACTTCGGACCGCATCTTTGCCATTGTACGCGAGCTGGCCGGCTCTGGCAAGGCGGTGAAGATTGCCGACATCATGGACCGTTGCACCACCAAGGGCTTCAAACCCGACCAGGTGGACAAGTGCATCGACGACTACGAGGAGCTCAACGTCTGGCAGGTCAACATGGGACGCACGAAGATCACCTTCATGTAGAAGGTTGGCACCTTTTTAATTACAAATTAGTAGTTAAGTTTCTGTATCTTTATCGTTATAATTATTCTCCATTATTCTCACACATTGCCACTTTACCATTGATCATTTTTATAAATAAATCATTAATATTTGACCCAGGGAAAGCATTGATTAGGTTGCTCTGGTTAATATGACTTTATTGTTTTAATAGACTTTTAAAAGACACCGAAACAGCAGCAATTGCAGAACTTTAGGTGCATATAAAACTACAGATAAATAGCAAACAAGCATGTGGTCCTTGCCAATAAATTCGTTGTACATTCCTTTAAGGACCTCTCACACCACACGATCTTCTCACATGCACACACAGACGACAATCCACGTTGGATTCTACACACAATAAATTGAGAATAATTGAAATATTTTGTGACATATACACAGATAGGATATATGTTTGTAGATATATGTATATAGAGCAGGTTCTGTAGGATCTCCCCCCTACATGCTCTTGTTGAAGCTCAAGGCGGCCCTCAGCTTGTTCCGGATGCGCGGCGAGTTCCAACGATTCCCGCCAGCCGATCCCAGCCCAACGACCGAGCGCAGCTCATTGGGGGATATGCCCTCGTCCACGTCGTCCGCCTCGGTCTTGATCTCCATCTTCTGGACAATAAGACGCACCAGGTGATGCTGCTGCTCCAGCATGCGGCTAATGTCACGCAGCTTGCGTCGCTGACGCTCTAGCTCGGCGTTTATATAGTCGTCGTTGTTGTCAAAGGATATGGCGTCCATGGAGGCTGCAAAGAAGCAGAACTTAATTCTCCTTTCATAAGGAGTATCCCCTATATACTCACAATCCTCAGTAAATGGATTAGAGAACCACTTGCGCAAAATAAAGTCGCAGAGGCCGAGCTTGCACTTGGTCTCATTGGGATACTCGATTAGCTCCATTTTGTCCACTCGCTGCAGCCAGACATGGGGTAGCTTGCGCTCCAGCTCCGTGTGGAGAACCACCTGCATGGCCAGGCGCTTTAGCTGGGCATTGCGACGCACCGATTCAATGTCGCCAACGGCCAAACCGATAAGCAAGTTCATCAGGAGAATGGGCATAAGGATCATAAAGACGCCTGGAAAGGAAGTAATAAGATAATAAAGGTAGAAGTTGGATATTAAGTCAGGAGCCTACTCAGAATCAAGAAGGAGGTCATGGGTACTTTCAGCTGGTCGCGATAGTAGGTGTTCACATAGGTGCCCACAAAGTCCAGCTCGCCCAGCATCATCGAGAAGGTACGCAGCAGGGACATGGGTATGTTGGAGAAGGACAAGTGGTTCGGTTGGGGGTCAATAATCTGCAAAAAATAAAGTCAATTTATAACCGAGTAATAAATAAAAACATTCTTAACCCACCTTTGACAGCAGTATGTAGAAAGCCAGGCCAAAGGCAATAATCAGTATGGAGAATACCATCAGCACCTTGATCAGCGTCTGCAGGATCTCCAGGAACATCACCACGTAGATGCCCACCTGATCGAAACGCTGAAGGAACAACAAAAGCCGAAACCAGGACAAGAAGACAGCAATTGAGGCCGCCGAATAGTGGATCGTATTGATGGCTCCGTCGGGCTTAAAGGCCGGCGTTACCATCACCAAAGCGGAGATGTACAGCACCCAGGAGATGATGTTGACCGTTTCCAAGATGTAGTGCAGCTTTTGCTGATAGATCTGTATAAGTTCCCGCATTGAGTTGAGCAGGATGTAGACCACAATGACGATGGCACAGAAAACGATGGCCGTGGTCCGGTTGATGCGCTCCTCGCAAGAATCCAAACGGATCTGTGAGGCAACCGCCGGATTCTGGGAGAGATTCAGAGTCAACTCTTCCCAGCTGAAAAATAACACTTGATAAAGTTTTCAAATATATTAGGCCCAGCCTATAACTCACCCCATGTTGCAGTACTGGCTCATCGTCTTGTTATTATTTCCCGCCCTCAGCTCGATGTTGTTCATCATCAGCGAGGAGTAGATGGTCACAAAGACCAGGAATATCGAGTAGATCAACAGGTTGGCCAGGTGAAAGTACTTGCCGTACGAGTTCCACTTCATCTGCAGATACTTCTGGCTTAGAGGATGGGCCAGCAGCTCCACCCTGCCGTGGGTAACCATGGTCTGACCGGGATAAGGGTGAAGGCAAATATATATTAGTTATGAGCTCTCAGAGATCAAGGAGACATTTACACATACACAACATATATAAGTTACAAAAGCCAGATACAGTGAGTTGGTTGTTAGTGGGTTAGTTTTTAGCTTTGGGGACGAGATACAATTGCAGAGCTGCTCGTTGGTGAGATCTTTAAGAGAGTTCGGGGCACACTCACATTCACCACGGCCAGGGGCGCGGGTCGCCAGCGGGGGTCATTGAACTCTTTGCGCTTGGCCTCGATCTGTTCGGGTGTCTTTTGGTAGGGCCAAAACGAATATTTTATCTGGATGGTGGTAGCCAACGTATTTTTATTTAGATATCAGCTTTTAAGCTATCAAAATAATTAATGGGTTATGATGTGTTACTCCTAAGTCTAAAAACCTTGAAACTCAAGGATTAGTTTGGATTTGTGTACGTGGGAGGTTGCTTTCAGAATCCAGGGGCGGGTTCAATCTGAGGGCATCACTGTCTTGAAATTCATCTTTACACATATTACCATAATCTTGAAGCAGTGTGCTGACCAAGGTTTATGTGAAGTAGAGCATCTTGAATGCTTAGCAAAGCATGCTATCGATTGGAGTTAAAAAAAATGTAAGGGTCTTTAGCTCCTTGTTTTCAGCTACCTTAAAGGACAGGCTTTCTGTCGTACACCATTTGTAAGTGTTTATAACTCTCATTCCTAAAGAAATATCATTCTAACTTTAAAATCTTAACCCTAATATCTTCAAACAATAACCTCACCTATTACAATCCCAAGTAAAAAGGAGCGGAAAAAACAACACTGAAAACAAGCATGCAATGGATCTGATCTGGTATCGATTCCAGGTTCCGCTTACATTCAATGCCGGCAACGGAATGGGATTCGTCGTCATTATCGACTCTCCGGTTTTCTCGTCAATCTTGGCAAACATAAAGGGGCATTGCAAGAATGCAAAAGAGTACTTGATCTGGTCAGGATATAGGTAAGGTAGGGGACGGAATAGAGAACGGTTAGCTTCGGTGGAATGAGAGGCGAATGTATTCGATGGGGTTTCCCCTGGGATGTCCCTTGGGAAACGGGCAACTTACGTAGAAGCTCTTCGAGTCCTTCTTGCAATTGGCTTTAGTGATGCACTTATCCTGCACTGCCTCGAATACCTTCGGCATGGATGCAATCAGCGCCAGAGTCACGCAGGGATGCTTGTCCGACCGCAGGGCCATCACCTCATTGGCCCGCTCCTCGTGTGTGACCATGGCCAGGGCCGCCTCCGGATACTTGTAGTAGATGGCATAGTCAATGGCGCTCATGTCCAGGACATTGTACACCAGCTTGCAGCCCATGGACATCAAAACGGAGATAGCGTGCGGCTTGTTCTCCATGGTGGCCAGGTGGAGAGCCGTGTTCTTTGGGGATTATAAAAAAGTAACTAAATTGATTTGACGTTTTTTAGGCACCACTCACCCCATCCTTGTCCACCTGATCAAGCAGATGCGAGTGCACCGAGTGCAGTAGCTCAATGGTCTCGGTGTATCCAGACATGGCCGCCAGGTGAAGGGGATTGCGACCGGTGTGATCGCGATGCAGTAGGGCCCCACGGTTTAGGAGCAGCTGCACCACCCGCGTGTGTCCCTGCTGGGAGGAGATATGCAGCGGGGTCATGCCGGCACCATCGCTCTCGTTGATGATGAAGGAACCCTTCTCCGAGTCCAGGAGCTGGCGCACCGTGTTGTAGCGACCATAGCGGGCGGCAAAGTGCAACGGGCTCTCGTTGTTGTTGTTCTTTAGATTGATGCACGCGCCTAGCCGGATGAGGTTCTCCAGCGAGCGAATGTGGCCATCCCTGCTGGCATAGTGCAGCGGCGAACAGCCCATGCTGTCCTTCTCGTTGAGCAGCAGCTGGAGCTGGGCATGGGTCTGGCAATTGGCCACCTGCTCGGCAAAGTCCGTCAACCTGCCGCCGTTCATAATGACAAAGTGCAGCACATTACGGGCGGCAGCATCCTTCACGCTAATACAGGCTCCCAGGCGGATGAGCAGGTGCACTGGAATATAAGAGAAAGTTAAATGTATTCTTTATAATAAATTAAAATCTCTTACCTGTCTTCCAGCCACTGCGCGAGGCGGCCAAGAGCAGCGGCGAGCGGTGCTCCTTGTCCAAAGCATTAATGTCCGCACCCTCGGCCACCAAATAGGACACTATGTCCGGGTGATCGAACATGGAGGCGCAGTGCAGCGGCGTCATCTTCTGCACGTCCGTGCAGCTCAAACAGATGCGCTTCTCCATGGGCTGCATCTCAAACATCAGCTTCACTATGTCAATGGCGCCCTGAAAACAAAAACAATGCAAATAGAAAAGGAACAAAAATCAAAAATAGGAAATGGAAAATGGAAAATGGAAAACCAAGCCGGATTCATTCACCCATGGTGTGCGTTACGCAACATTTGGGGGCGCCTTTGTTTTGCCAGCGGCAAAGTCACGTTCCTCTTGGTGTAATTTGCATAAGAATTTGTCAAATTAAAGTCAGCCCAGGACACGAGTCTGCGACTTCAGGACCCCGCATCTCCTTGGCGAGGCTTTAACACTGTTTTCCCTTGACTTACTGACCAAAAACGCTTTGTTTACGCACATCTCCATCCCCATTTCCCCTTGGAAATGCGAGAGTTGTTAAGCACTGAGCTCGCTCTGGCTGCCTGTCAGTTAACCCCAAACAAGTGCAGCTTTACACTTCACTCACCTGAGCGCAGGCCAGGTGCACTGGCGTTGAGAGATCATGTTGCTGGGTGGATATCTTGGCGCCGGACTTAAGGCACAGCTCCACCGCCTTGATGTCGCCGCCGTGCACCGCCGAGTGGAGTGGCACATTGCCCTCGGAATCGTAGAAGGATATCATTTCCTCGCGAGTGCAGCCCCGCTGTTCGCCCCACTGCAAGGTGCAAGGTAAATTAAGTAATTAGATGAGGGATTTGCAAGGATTTAGCTTCCGCTATGAACGTTTTCTTAAGGTTTATGTATCCATTCGGGCATCTTAGTTACTCTTAAACGCATTCTTAAATCTGTTCTCGAAAAACCCAAACAATTTTGTCTCTACAAAGTCAATGACCGACCTGTCTAACTTGGGCCCAACATTTGATATTTTTCAGCATCTTCAACTTTTCAGCTAAAGGAAAACATTTTTCTCTTTTTTTTTGGCCGACCTTACATCATGCCAGATACATATATTTTTAATCCGTAGAGATAGAGTGAGGCAGGCCAGCAGACGAATGAACCATTACAAATTTGATACTTTTTCAAGATGTCGCTGTCACCGCGGCGTATACGCAATTTCAATCGCAGAGGAAGGGAAATAAAAATAAACTCAAACCCAAACTCTAAGCTAGAGTGCACGAAAGGTCAAGGGGGGTTGGGTTAAGTGAAAGAAATCAAGCAAAGCGGCCCAAAGTCCACAGTACGAAGGGGATAACTTCCACAATGAGATCAAAGCCGGATGAGATGGCATAGTTATCGGTTGACGGGAACAATATCATGCAGCTATCTGTATACACTATGAAATATTTTAGTTTTAGCTGGAAATAATTGAAAACTTGGACTTTTAAAGTAACTTTTATAATGTGAAAAGTATGAGAGTTTTATAAAAAATATTTAAATAAGTTATTTTTCGATTTGAATGCTTATTTCAGGGTTTTTAATTATTTCAATTTATTATGTATTATTATGTTTATTTATGTATTTTAATATATAATAATTTAATATTATTATAAATTATATATAAATATTATATATACAATTTGGCTATCTAAATTATATATTAACTAATAAAAACATTTTCGTTTCGTGTACACTCAAATTATAAATAAGGAAAAGGAAACACTTGCCTGAAAGAAGACCTCCATTGTCTTGGAGCTGGCATTCTTGGCCGCTTCGTGTATGGGATAATAACCATTGTTACAGGGCTTACGTGGACATGCATCGAACTCGGTTATCTGGAAGATACGACGAGTTACAGTAAACGGAAGGCTATTTGAATAATTGACTAAGACTAAGACTAAGACTAATACTGATACTAAAACAAATGCTAGGAGGACACACACAAGCACTTCTAGAGCTGGGCAAAAGGCCGTAGCATACTGCTAAGGGCAGACAATCGAACGTACAAACCTTTTCACCGTTTTTCTTGCCCATGATAAATTAATCTAGAGAGCGAGTGTGTGTGTGTGTGTGTGTGTTGGAATGGTGTGATGTATCTCGGGTGAAAATTGATTAATGATTACAAGCGTGTGTGTGTACATGGTCCAATTGGCCATCAAAATGCAAATAAAATGCATGAATGAATACCCAAAAGCAAGTCGCTAAAAGATAAAGTGATTACATGGAACGATTGGGAAAGACTCACACCACTTACCAGGATGCGAGCGCACTCCTCGTGGTCGTAGATGGCCGCCAGGTGGAGGGCGGTGCGTCCATGTTCTCCGCCCTGCTGGATGTCGATCACGTTCCGGTACTGACCCATCACCCGCAGCGACTTGACCTTGTTCAGCTCGGTGGCCAGGTGCACAGGCGCCTGCTTCTTCTCGTTAAGCACTCCAGTGTCCACCGGACTGCAAGGATTGTCGGAAGAATAAGGAGGGTTTCCAGGAAAACCAAAGAAAAATATTTCCTTAAAGAGATGCAATGGTTGCTCCTCCTCAATAGATGACTTACATGGACAGCAGGTAATCCAACGCCTCGTAGGCATCGCTCTCCACAGCAATGTGGAGCGGCGTGTTGCCGGCATTATCCTTTGCATTAAAGTCTGTGTAAATCACTCTTAATAAGTCGGCCCATGGTTAATGGCTAATAATATCCTCGGCTTACCTCCGTTCTGGTCGCGAATATAACGCAAAATATTAACTCGATTACGGGCAGCCGCCTGATGGGCCGCCGTTCGTCCTTTGGCATCCTTTAAAGCGATGCGCGAGTTGTCCGCCATGAAGAGGCGCTTGAAGTCGTCCAGGTTCCCGGACTCGGCCGCCTGTTAATGGAGGGGAACAAAAAGGTGTCTTAGTTTGTAGCGACTTCAATTAAGTTCAAGAGAGCACAACAGTTTTGTTTACTTTCGCAGACACTGAAGGAAATATATAAAAATTGGCATGGAATAAGTTTGTATTAATAATGGGAAAACGTTTTTTTAAATCTAAAAATTATGTAGATAAATTTCCGATCTTGGTTTAGTATTATTTTCTACAGGCAAGACTCTTTTAGAATTTAATTTCGTAATAAAATATTATTATTTCTATTTTTTAAATCACTTTTGGAACAAAATAAATACTTTCACCCTCTAACTCAGATATTACTTTTAATTTGTAAATATATTTTAATATATTTTTATTGAAATTAGAAATTAAATATTATTTTCTTCCGTTCTCTGTGGGAACTTTGCAGCGTAAATCCTTTGAGATAAGTGGTAGTGAAGGGACCAACTCTATGAATTCAACAAGGAGGTCAAGTTCCACTTATTTCCTTCTGGAATTTTTTATTTGCCTTTCTGAGAGCAAGGTGGAGAAAAAAAAAGAACATTTGCCACTGCAAAATGTCAATAGATTTTTATCATTAACTCGTTCTGACGACTCAGTAAGTGTATTGTTTTATATACGCTTCAGCAAACAGATAATACAATAAACACAATTTCTGGAGAATAGAATAATACAATCAATGTTTTGAACACATTTTCTGGAACATTTTTAATTAACAAAGTTTTTCGTAAAAGCTTCGAAACGGGAACGCAAACTTTCTGCTCGTGGAAAGTGTCTTGTGATTTGCTCTTGGCTAATTAAATGGATTTTACCTCTAGAAAGTCAACGATTTGTATTTTCGGTGCGGAGGACATTCGAAGGATTCGTGCCCACTTGTTGGGCAAGTTGATTGGCGCCATCACGGTGAGCTCTGCTCCTCGGATACAGCCGCTGATCAGGTAACGCAGCGGATTGGTGAGTTCCTCACGCTTCGGAGTGTCCTTTTCCTTTTCCTTATGCTTTTCTTTATCCTTTCCCCTCTCCTTGTCGCCCGTGGTCATCGTTGGACTTAATTACTTGAACATTTGTGTTTGCTCTGCGGATTAATTTATATTGCTATTGCAGTTGCTGTTACTATTGGCCTCAGAGCCGAGTGGTTGACATCGAAGAAAGTTTCAAGGGCTCGGGCTTATGGGGATTCCCCATATGCACTTGTTTTTTGTATGAGGCTAGCTTTGATTTGCGGCTATTGTGGGTTTTTATTTGGTTTGAAATTGAATCTATATTGTATCGTTTTATTTAGGGTTTTTCTGTAGGAGTTTTGATCTGATTTATGGCTTTCAAGTGTTTATTATTGTGGCTTTACGTTGATTTTGAGAAATTATATTTGATTTTCTTTGCTTATGTTATATATTTGTAGGTCTTTGGGGATTTTAATTCAAATTATATTGCATCATTATATAATTCATGATATCCTGGCTTTTTTATTCTCACTTACAGCATTTTTAGACATTAGACAGTTTCTTCTTTAACTTATTTTTTCGTTTTTATAAATTTTAAATTATTTTAAAATTTCATGTATTTGTATTTCTTTATTTTTTTGACTCTATTAATTTTTTTTTTTTATTTATAAAGTCCTGTAGTTATGATATGCATTTGTTTCTTCAATTGCCAATATATAAATGTTTTTACTAGTTTTTCTGAATTTACTTTAAAAAAAAACCCTCCGTTCTTCTTTCCACTTTAAAAATAATTTGTTAATAAATCCAGCACTAGAAGGTTTATTAAAACTTTCAATAAACTCCAAGTCTTTTTTTTAGTAAATTCTCTTTAAAAATATACATTTCCTTTCATATTTTCAATTAATTTTCGCCTCTAAAAAATCTCTCAAATAAAACCAGCAGCCTTATTGCAATCATTGCCTGACATTTATGAGTATTTTCTGTCAGATTCTTCCACAAAGCGTTATTGAGTTATGTTACAAATTAGATTGGCTTGCCACTGATTTTCTAGCCAAGTTAACTTGATTTTTGGTTAGAGCACTGGTGAGAGAGAAAGCCACTGTTTTAGGAAGTGAGGTTCGCGTACGAGAAGCCGTTGAATGACTGAAATCTCGGGCCGAGTTATCCCGCTTTTATAGCCAACAGGCAGCAGCTTCGTGTCGGGTCCTTTCAGCAGGACATGCTTCGTGAGCTTCGTTCAATTTGGCAGTCAATTTATGTTTCAATTTCAATGGTTTTCTAATGGGCTTCTAATTTGCAAAGGACTTGTTGCATTCCATGTCCTGCGGGTATTGGGTTTCGGATGTACCACCTCGCACCTTAATTAATGTATAGCTTTTATATATCCCCTTTGAATGTTCCTATAGTAATTTGTTTTAAATTTATCTTCTACAAACTATAGCCTTGATAAAAACCTATAGAAATTTCATAGATACTTTCTATATTCTAAAGGTTTTTCAATCTAATATATTTTAATTTTTATATGAGAAGGGTTTTATATTCTTCTCGACTATTTCGGTTCTCGAAGGTTCTTGAAACTCGTGGGCAAGATTGATTCAAAAAGCATTTATCACAGCTCTCACCCAGGGACCTGGGTTCATCATTTTTCATCACTTTGGGGAATTACGGTCCGACGACGTACTTGCATTTAACCCACCGCCATAACATCCTGGATCCACTCACCCGCAATATCCTGAAGGGGCTGTCACGCAAAAGGCAGACCTCCGCCGGCGGCTCCGCGGGCAGGATGGCCTCCAGCGGAGTGTCCGCATCATCGCCATCGATTTCTATGCGCTTGGGACCCGCACTGCGCTCGATTATCATGGAGAATATCCAATACTGCAAATAAATACCAGTCATGTTCAGTTGGGGGTATAATTTAAGATATATTATTGGATTAAAATAGCGTTAAAATGCCATTTCAAAAGCATTTATTGGATTAATATTTTAATAGTCATAAATGAGAGATGTTCTGGGGTGCATAAAGGAATTAGTGGGAATGTCTACAAAGAATTTAACTCAAACCCAAAGTATTAAAGTTTTTCAAGGCTCCTAACTAACCCCAACTAACTTTCCCTATTTACTCTCCATAAAAAACCCCATAAAACCCGATATTTGTCCAACACTCACCTTGCTGTTCCGGCTATTGCTGCCGCTGCTGTTGCTCCTGGGCTTGGGAATGAGCTTCGGTTGGGCCTCCATCAGGTCCGGCGGCGAGAGGGCGCCGCACTGGCCACTGTAGACTCCGTTGTACAGCTTGGGCATCCTGGGAGGACAACTAGATCCTTTGCTGGTGCGGCTGCTGGTGCTGCTCGCTTGCCGTGCGTCCGTAGCGGCTGCTGTGATCGTGAAGGGCCGCTGGTCGCGACTGTACATGGCGGCGGTTAGTATATTCGGTATTTCGCAACTTATCTCAAATTATTGTAATCGGGGGCTAATTAGATACTGATTGGCCTAAACGGTTTTGTAGACGCGTAAGCTGACAGCAAACCAATTTAGATAACACCGCTTGACAGTCACATGATACGGTAGATAAGGATAGCACCGAGGAGGACGATTTCCCGGGGACGATGACTGTGCCGCGTCGCAACTGAACCCTGACTGCAACTAGGGCTAACTGTGAAGTAACCCTTGGACAATTACACGCACCGCAATATACAGACATATATATTTAGACAAATGAGCATGCTATATATATCAATGTGGGCAAGTGTGCGTAAGCCACCGAGTCAATGGCCGTTTGTCATCCTTCCATTCAGCCGTTGCCCGAGGGAATCCACGCTGCGGCCCATTAACTGGAAGTGTCTAATTAATGGCTTGTTTATTTTCGCCAGTCACCCAGGACAAAAATTTGCATAATGCCAAGCCTCCTGGATTCCAGCTAACAAATCCTGTTAACAATTCAGCGAAATGCGGCCTCATTTGAGAAGAAATTTCTAGGCGTATTTTGAGTTTAGAATGAAATAACAGAGATATTTAAGACACCATTAGTTATACTCTCTAAAGAGTATATTTTTAAGGTTTTTGGTGATATGAAATCACAATAACGGATGCGCAAAAGTATACTATTTCCTTCAACTATCTTTGTAATGAATAATTAAAGAGCATCATTCTAGGCATTATCTTTGACATTTTATGATATATCCGGGATTTATTTTATTTTTTAAATCCGAAATAGGGCAGAATTGTATATTAACTTTGCTCAAAAGTAACACTTTCTATTTTTTCTTCATTTTGAAGTCCCGACTTACTCCAATTCCTCCAGCCTCATTTCGAACCGATTTCTCCTAGACTTGAATGCGAACTGCAAGTTGTGCTTAGTTCCCAGGAAATTCCTAGTTGGCTTTGAATAACCTAATGAAATTACAAAGATATCCATCACGATTTGGGCCTCGATTTAGCACTGGCAGCTCTGTTCAGGGACTAATGAAATGAAGGGCTCTGCCCACCAGGTGAGACAGTGCCAAAGGGGCTCTGATTATTTCCACGCGCAGGTGGATGAGTTGACGAAATTTGAGGCATTCGATTAGTGTAAGTGCTGCCCGCTGATGGGCAAATATTATAGCAGACATCGGCCGACTGATGGGTAAATAAATCTATTAAGTGAGAGGTCATTTTAAGGGGTTACATTGCATCCCTTATTTTGGGTGTCTTAGGAACTATGAATTTTGTGTTCTGAATTAAATGTTCATCGTATGATTTAAAAATCAAGATATTAGTCAGGAAAGAGCCTAAAAAATCCACATAAAACTAGTGATAAAATCATAGCTACCTACTTAAATACGTTTTAATGCCAATTTAAAGATAACGAATTCAAAAAAAAATATTTTAAGCTATATAAATTAGTTCTTTGAAATGCAGAATGTATTCCACTCTCACCTTAGTTTGAATCACTCGTTTCTCTTCCTTTATTTTTCACTTTATCAGTGCGTTAAAAGTGTTCCTTGGTGAGCAGCGGGCGATGGCAATGCACTTACATCCTTCAGTCGACTTTAAATTTAAAGAACTTAAACTTGATTTTGATCTCCGCCAAGACCAGAACGGAGCACACGGAGCAGGCACAACTGCGGCAGCAGCAGGAATTTTCCGAGAATATTCGCACTGAGTTTAACCGCATTTAAGGCTGCTTGCCATATGTTGCCCTGGCGATCCTTTCCTTCGCCGCGGAGGAAGCACTACAAGCACTCGCGACAAGGACCTCAACGGCAACGCTCACAATTCCAGCTCAAGCGCTGATGGACAGGCACTTTAATTACAAAACCTAATTAGCACCTTTCAATATAAATAAAATAATAGTTTGCTCCTTGACACTATAGCTCCTTTGGCTGCTTTCCTTTTGAGGAATTTTCAATGTTGGGATAACCGTCAGCTTCGATGGCTGGACACCGACTAAAACGTGGCAGCCAGTGGGGCCTGTGAATCCATGGCAGAAACAGTTCACACTGGTTCGGGGCGGTCCTGATAACGACTGGCAGCCTTTCGTCACTTTGTCGCCTCGTTTCGCCGCCATTAACACATTAACCGTCCGGCAAAATGGCAAAATCGAACCGATATAGAGATACCATATGCATACATGGACATCCCAGCCACAAGTTCACAAAGTCCACATAGCCCCATCGCCACCCACATGGTGAAATACTCGAACTCAAGTGGCTCGGCGATAGTTCTGGATACTTTAAAGGGCTTCCAGTGGCCGGAAAAGCGGAAAAAAGTGATTTTCCAACAGCGATAGCGATTTCAAGTGGAGGAAGGATAGCTGAAGGGTACAGCTACTGCTATCTTGTAAGGAATTTTCTATATTTTCTAAAATAGTCATAAATGGGAGCTTCTGGAAGTTTATAAGAATATTATTGATTTCGTCAAGCATTTTCTTAAGAAATTTCCTCATTAATCTTATTTTGAGTTCTTATGAAAATCTATTTTAAATTAACAATTAAGTTAGTAGCCACTATCATTTTAGCCCCCACACAAGCATGGCCATTAGTAATTTTATTTAATTACTTTAGGAACCACACTGAACAGCGGGGCTATGAAAAAATAACGAAATTTATTGGAAAATATTTAAAAATGCAAACAGCAATTCAATTTAGCTCAGAACATAAAACGAACAACTAAACAAACATATAAACAAACAAACAAATTAAAAACCCTTAAAAATAAAACCTCACTTAAATGGAATGCCCATGAGCTTGGCGGGCAGGTCGGAAAAGGTGAACACTAGTCCCACGACAATGGCCAATATAAGTACAGTCCAAAGGACATACTTCCGTATGGCGGGCCAGAGAATGTGCTTGAAGGATTTCCAAGGATTTGTTAGGGGATTGAAAGAGGTATCTGGCCGGCTGAAAGTTAGAGAAAGATAAGTAAGAGTAGGAACTTTTGGTATCAAATTCTTACTAAGGTGCCTCTAGAGCCATTGGCGGATCCTGTCCAAGTCCAGCCGGTCGGTTGGATGCCTCCATATCCGTGCAGACTTCAATCTGCAGCTGCATCTTGCCCTAAAAATAACCCATGAGAGTCTTAAAATAGGACGACTCTAACCATGACCATGATGTACTCACCATCTTGACCTTTTCTCTTTCGGCTTGCGCGGGATGCGGATTACTCTCAAGGGGAAACCACCCGGAGATGACCTTGCGCTTGAAGAGATTGATGCGCTTTCGTTTCTTAGGAAACGGCTTGCACAACTGGGCGCTGCTGTATGGAACGTGCATGTTGGAGAGATTCAGCTCCAGAGCGGCCAGGTACTCGTCCCGTGTGATTACGTCCTTGTCCCACACCTGCAGATAGATAATGGGCGGCCTCTTGAACTCGATCTCCTCCTGCAGCCCATGCTTGCGCCGGATGACCATCTGCAAATTATAAAATATATATATTGCGAAATATAGAAATGGAAACCGGATAGAGACTGGGCGGATAATTAGTGGCGGATTGGTTACCGCCAGCAATTAGGCAAGGTCAAGGCAGGACTCACCAGGTCCTCGTTGGGGGAGTACTTCATGCCGAAGACCATGCGCCAATTAAAGGCCGCATCACCCGCAAATGAGCGGTAATGGATATCGGTAGATTGCTCCTTGTCCTCGTCCTCGCACCATCTGCAAAGCATCGCGAAAAACGCGAAAACATCGGTAATTGCATATCGCTTACACGGATCCCAGTTGTTTCCCGCAGGGTAATGTTTGTCCCCCTCCACCCGCACCCAGCACTCACCCAATCACGTATATGTCGCTCATTAGTTTCCCGAAAATGTTCCTGTCGCCGGCCTGGATGCCTACCAGTTTCTTGACCACGACACGCACCTCGAAATACGCAGGCGGCACCGGCGTTATGTCAATGGCATTGGGCACATAGATGTTCGCCTCGAATAGCTCGACCCACAGCTGCAGCTTACCCTGGAGAAGGATAATGGATAAGAGGAGGTTTGTTTTAGGAAATTAGGAAATTTAAATATAATACTAAATGGGTCAGAAGGTATGATAAACTAAGAGCTAGAGCTTATACTTATATATTAGCTTAAAAATAATAATTTGCATAATATTTGCAATTATTCATTAATTTTATTTTTACGTATTTAAAGTATTTAAATCCTTGACAATCTTCATTCATATAAATTTATTTATTTATTTATTATTAAAGATAGAGAAGTTTACAAAACTAAACTAACTTAGTTGGTAAAGCGCTGGAAACAGGGCCTTCGGCTTTTAAGATTCATGATATTATATATATTGTTTTAATTACATATTTGACATTGTAGTTTGGCTACTTAGTTGGTAATTTTTATTTATATACATTTTGGGTATGTTTTTATATTTTGTGGTAAAGATTGGAAGATCTTAAGAAAATTAAGATTTTTTCTAGATTATCTGGGTTAAGTTCGCTGAGGAGATTTGTTGGGTCTGTGTTTTTGAAAATGGATAGTTTGGTGGGGAGGAGTGATGGGCAGGAGTTTAAAAGGTGGGATATGGTATTGTCGCCTTGGCAAATGACACACTTTATGTTTATTCAATAAAATAAAACTCATGTTCTTATCAAAGATTATATGGTTTAGTGCTATATTTTATTCTAGATAACGCTTGTCTAGACCATTTTATCATAATTAACGACAAATATTTATTTATGACTATATTTAGCAAAGCTTATCTTAGTTAGTTCTGGCCATAAATCATAATGTTGGGTTAGGTTAGGCACAATAGTATGAAGGATATTATAGGAAATATGAAGTCAAATAATTATACAAAATTATAGAAGTTATCTTAGAAAATTCTAATTATTTCAAATGTAAATAAATGTAATTTCTTAATTATTAATGCTAGTTGTTCCAACTAAATTCTAGTACTGACCTGTTCAACGTTTGGATAATCATCACGATAAAGGGATCGGGTTTCCACATGCTCAGGCACTAGTTTATAGCCCAGAGAAGGAAGCTTCTCCAGGTTCTTGAGTACGGCCAGGCTGAGGCGCTCACCTAGTGACTCATCTATAAACACAGACATTTTCAGTAGTACTTAAATCCATATCCAATTATAACCATCAAACCTTTTGAGATCACAGTCTCATCCCCAAACAGCATGCCGTCTACCTCGATGGCATTGCCATAGTAGTATGGCGGGGGAATTCCCCTCTTTTTACAGAGATCCAAGAGGATCTCCGAGGGCAATTTGTGATCGTGCCAATGGTTGTAGCCACTCTTGCTATACTCGTTGGCCAAACCCACTGTGGCCCGATGCCTGCTCCTCCAGCGATCCTCCAAATCAATGAAAGTATGACCGATAATCTCATCCCTGACCTTGTCATGATCGTGAACAACGATTTGCAGCATGTGGTCTCCGGGTAGGTTTGCCTCCAGCTCGAATAGACGCCCGAATACAGGATTGCTGTGGTTGGGACTGTAGTTGGCTCGATCGGTAACGGTTTTGCCACCGAGGTAGATCTTCACGTAGCAATCGGAGTCACCTTTCAGATCCCTAGGACGCATCTGGATGCCCTGGACTAGGTACACCCTTACGATTAGCTTCACAGTCTCCTGCAGTGAGCGTAGCGACGCCTGGTCACGTTGATTTAGAGGATTGGTCATGGGACGAATCATGTCGCCACCGGCTTCCGGATCCTCGAGAACCGAGCACTGGCAGGGCGTCAGCTTAAACTGCAGCTTCAACGTGGCATAGACATCCTCTCGCGGAGGACCCTGCTTCTTGAACTTGACTCCGTGGACCAATGAAACGGCCAAGGCCCAGTCCTTGAGGTAACCGAACTGCGACTCCTTTTCCAGCTCGTTGGGATAGATGACCAGGCGGTGCTTGTGCTCATGGGTCATTTCCGCTGCACTCCAGTACATCGAGTTGTAGAACTTGGTCCACCAGGTGTACTCCCGCTCATCGCCCATCTCCGATTCGTCCAGGTTACCTTCGTACTTCAGCGCCTGCCGGTTGGCGTAGGCAGCCGTCCTCAGCCCCAAGATGAACAACAATCGCCTCCACCAGCTGGTAATTCTGGCTGGCGGGCCCTCCTCCTCCCATTCCAGCTCTGCATCTTCATCCGTCTCCTCCTCCTTCTCCTCGACCGCATCCATAGTGACCGTGGTGGAGGTATCACTGGAAGGCTGCCTCCTTGCGGACACACACCTGAGCGTCTTGTCGCGTTGAAGGAAACTCGTCGAGTTGGGAATAAGAGCAGCTCCCAAGGTGGACTCACTGTTGAAGCCGGAAAGCAGCACGTCAGTGGTTATAATGGGTGGCCAGTACTCCTGCTGATCGGGCAGGCTCTGGAAGGGATGGGCCACTGAGGATATAGGAGCTGAAAATTCCTGGGATATTAACCTACCACGACACCCGAGGCATAGGCCACCAGGAAGTTGATGGTGTTCCGAACGCGAGCCATCGAGGGTCCACTGGTCAAGACCAGGTCGCCCATCATCACCCTGATTTTCCGCTTGCCCGCCGAGCTCATGCTGCTCTTGGTATAGTTTCGTAATCCCACAAAGAATACCTCTAGGCTGTTAGGAATTAGACTAAAGCGATTCACTCTGGAATTTATCCCCAAACTCACATAAAATTCTGCATATTCGGTTTGATGGCTGCGGGAATTCCCGTGGCCAGCAGTGGCTCCTTGCGTGCATCTTGCATACTGTCCTCCAGAGACAGTTCGATGAGCTCTGCCGACATCAGGACCTCGGCCTGAACGGAACCCTTCCTGGATATTGGCACCCATTTAAGTGGCGGTGGAGTCAAATGCCTCAGCTTTTGCAAATTCTGAACTGGATTTGTGCACCACCAATGGCTACCTGTGTCCTCCCAGTTGGAGCCGGTGGCCCTATCCTCGCTGATGACGCTGGCTGACACGGAGCCCATGCCCACGATAGTATCGGAGATGATCTTTTCCGAGGTTAAGAACTCCAACGAGAGCAGGGGTGGATTCTTGGCATAAAGATTGACGCCTCCGGGAAGGGAGAGGGATTTGAAGGTCATCACGGTATTCCAAATGGGAGTTAGTGTCCCAGGGGATCTATAAGTTTCGCCGACCTGGTCCGCAAACAGGATCCTTAAGTGGGAGTCGACGGCGCTCTTCTTCTCGCCCCACTGACGAATCTTGGCCTGATGAACGTAGACGTGGCAGATAAACTGTGTCTGGTCTGTGGTTGGCTGCCACAACATGGGCTCGAGACTGTTCCAATCCGATCTGACCGATGTGAAGAAATCCGTTCTCTCGCGTTCCACAACGATAGAAAGGCATCCCGAAATAATGGCAGTAGTGCAACCACAATTGGGACAGGTGTGGGTACAACTGGAGGCCTTGAAGGGAAAGCTCCTCAGTCGCCAAGACAGCGTTTCCTGCTGCAGCGGTAAGTCCTGCTGGCGAAGGTGCAGAAAGAGTTTGGCATTCAGGCGACACCTTCCCAGTTCTTTGCCTCCCGCGCTGAGGGTCAAAACCAACTCCGGCCACTCGTCCTGCAGGCGGGCCATATTACACAAAGCTCCAATCTCAGCCACTAGGCGCTGCAGTTCATTGACCACATCCCCCATAGTGGCTCCCAGGTGCTCCAAGTAGCAGCTACGCAGTCGCTGCCTCAGCTGGTGGAGCTTCTGGGGCAGCTTGACGAAATAGTCCAGCAGGTACAGCTGCCGGTTGATGTCCCAGGTAGTTCGCTGCGGTTTCACCTCGTGGTCGAAGCGGTGGGCATCCAGACCCTCCTTGATCCTGGTCAGAATATTACCCACAATGGCCCTCAGGCATTTGGCCTGTTCCTCTTCCTGCATTGGATGCTTCAGCTGGAATATCTTGAAGATGTCCAGCTCAGAGTGCTGCAAGAATTTTTTAGAATATTATTTAAAGGCTCCCAACGATGTATCCTGCATCATACCATGAAGTTGGCCACATCCAACATGAAGAAATCACTCTCATACTTGGCTCGATTATCTGGCAAGCGGACGCGGAACATGCAGGATCGGAAGGGAGCCTTTCGGCGGAAACTCTTCGAATGCAAGGAGGATTGGAAGCGACCCGATGGCATCTTTAGCATTCCTTCCAGCACATTGGAGCTATGCTCGGCCAGACACGCCGTAATCTTGTACTCATTGTCCGAAGTCTGAATGTTATGACCCATTAACGGGAGGAACTCCACCAGGTATATTTCGTCGTACCAGTAACGTGACTCATCCAGGCCCACCACCGTTTTCGAGGACAGCGCGTGACTGGGCTGGGATTCTGTCAGCATCTCGGAACGCACTTCCATTAGCAGGCGACCCACATAGACCATTGGGTTGATGGGGTCGTAAAGGTGTATGTAGGTGGGTCCCAAAGACGGGGTGCCTATGAAAAGAAGAATTGACATGAGTTATCCCAATTTAAGGGAAGATTCTGAATTCCTCACCTTTAAAGGCGATTTCCTCGAAGGACAATTCGAACTCGGCCACACACTTCCACTGCAAATTCTCGTGGACTAAAATTAAGATGAGGAGCCGCTGGGCTACAGAGGGATACATCCAGGCGAAGTAGATCTCGTGGTTCCATACAGGCGTCGTCGTATTCTTGGCCACCGGGGTTTTTCCCTTGAAAGGATAGAATCTGTACTTTAAAAACGAAAACATACGTCAATGGCGAGTGCCAGATACATTGAAGCCGGCGAACGATACTTGGATCATGTAGCTGCTCTGCCGGAGGAAGTAGCCCCGGTAGAAGGCTATGAAATAGCGGATGTTGCTTGGAGCCATTGAGGTAGCGTTTGTCAGCAGATTTCTGAGGAGATATGTCATATGAAGATTACAAAGGATAATTCTTAAGCCACGAACACTCACTTTTCGACGTCATCGAAATCGTGGTCCACTGCCCACTTGTTCATCGTTTGGGTATCCGGATTCCCCGGTCGCAGTGAGCTACTGACCACGGCACTTTGCTGGGATACGATAGCCAAATCGATTTGCAGGTAGCCGTGGCTCTCTTGGGCCGCTTCCTGGGTGGGATTGTCCCCTATGGGTACCTCTAGGCGACCCCACTTCTTAAAGTACCCATGATTGACCTGGTTCCATACGCTGTGCAGATCTACCATCAGCTCGCTCACCACTACGTTCTTCTTGTAGGTCATGTGCTTCTTCAGCTCGAAGAGGATCGTCAGCCGAAGGAGTTCGGCCAGGGTGCAGTTGAACTCGAAAACAAAGTACTAAGGATGAAATATACAGTTACCATCCAAGGAAGAACATCCTTTCACTCACTCACCTCGTTAAAGAACGGGTTCTCGGTGTTGGGGTACGACTTGGTGCTTTTGGTCATCTTGTCCACGCTCATCCGCACGTACAGATCTCCGGTAGATACGCCCACCTTGATGGCCTTGTGAATGGTGATGCAGATGAGGAAGTCCTGCGTGGCTCCGGCAAAACAGTCGTCCATGTAGCTCATTCTCTGTCCAACTGGCCTGGTAATCAGGTTTCGGAGATATACATTTTCTGAGTCGGATCGAAATCGGAATGGAAAACATGGGCAGAAGGTGGATTTTGAAGCATTCCATGACCCAAGGCTCATGGCTTTGCTCGTTTGATTAGAATCGAACTTACAGTGTTAGGAGCCTTTTGAATGTTGTGATTTTCTGAGAATTTATTTTAATAAGCCAAATATAACTTTTTCATATAAATGATAATATAATTTACGGAAAATGATTAAATAAAAGTTAGTTTTTTAAATTCTCCCATGATCTTTAATAAATAATAAAAAAAAATAAATATTGCCAAGTCAAAAGAATGTTTATTTCCAAACGGTACAAAATAAACGCAATAGAACGTTCAAGGGTTAAAGCAAGTTTTTCAAATTAACGTGATTTTCAACGTTCTGGCAACTCTAAGCGATAAGCTCATCTTGAAAGCTCCCAGCAGACGCTTTTGTCCGGCCATGGAGTTACTCTTCTCCACTGTGGGTCCAACGACCACTTTTGTTGGGGAAAATTAAAAGCTCGTTTTAGAGATATCAACACGGAATCTGTTTAACAACTTTTATTGAAACGATTGATTTATTTTAATAAAATAAGTACATATATATTTTATAGGTCCAATGCTTTTCTAGTAGCATAACAGGCATTGATTAAGCTCATCACCATTTGAGGGTATAATGACTGTAAAATTCAAAAGAATATTTTTAATACAAATAAATAAGAAGAATTAAACTAATTTTCAGAGATAAACTCATCAGACGTTACTTATTGGACATCTTCAAAAGTTAGACATATTTTGGTAAATTAATTGTAAGAGGTTTAATATATATGAATCAATCAATTTTTTATTGAAATTGATTTCTAAATTTGGCATTCATAAATTGTAAACCTCTTACAATTAATTTACCAGAATATGTCTAGCTTAACTTTATTCAAGCCTGGCCTACAGTTATACAATTCATATTTGACCAGCAAAATTGCTGGCTAGCCCCACAGTGAGCCGGTGAGCTTTCAGCTGCTGGCCCTGCGCATGTATGCTGCAAGTGTTGGTGCGGCTGCTGCGCTGAACCTGCGAGACCGAAGCTGAAGCTGAAGCCAAGTCGCTGGAAAAACAGTTGAAAAGCACGGTTCAAAGCAGGCGGTCGCATTCTCGCGTGTAAAGTGTGTGTTGTGTCGCCCAGTGTAAGCCACGATTCGAGTTGGTATCGAGTACTGAGCACGCTGAGTCTGAGTAGTACTGGGTGCAGTTCGCGGTCGGTGCCTGGAATCGTTCTCTCTCCCGCTCTCGCTCTTCTCAAGCCGTCGGTGCGTCTCTATCTCGAGCCTCCAGCCAGCGGGTGTCTGTGTGTGCGAGTGTGAGTGCTGCTGATTTTGTGTATAATTTTTTGCGCGCGCTCAATCAAAACAGAGCTGCTGTGCGTACCATATTTACTGTTATTAGTTCCTTGGCCAAAAAATATAATATTGAGCCTTAAGCAACGAAAAGCTTAAACTCCGAAAATCCCAAAATCATAAAATCTTCAATTCAAATATTCCGGAATCATTGCAGGGTCGTAACTCTTCGACGTGCCCCGTAAATAAATTATTAAGAGCTCGCTCCGCAGCGTGCCCATATTTTACAGGTAAGTTTTTGCGCATTTGTCAAATAAGAAGAAAAAAAGAAAGTACAAGAAAAGCAGGGCATCGAAATACGCCGAGCAAATGCTACTGTTCGCAGGAAAAAGCATCCACCCACCACCACCCACCGCTGCCCACGCCCTTGGGCATCTCGTTCAGCCCATCAGCCCTTCATCCGGGGCCCAGCCCTCGACCATCTTCATCGCTTTTGTTGATACGCACACGCTTTTTGCGTCGTCCTCCCCATCCCGTCCCGTTTTTGGCTCCTTTTTGGCGCCCCACCTCCTGATTCCTGGGATGCTGATTGCTGATGCCCGCCCCCAGTGCGCTTCTGAATTCCCTTTTGCCCTCCTGGTTTGCGGTACCGTTGCCTTCTCCGGCCACTGCCCCTGGCATCTGTGCCACTTTTCAATTGCGCGGCATTTCTTTACGTTTATCACTTGTTCCCAGCCTCACCTTTCCTTCACCTTTGGCAGTGCAAAAAAAATCTATAAAAATTCCTTTCAAATTTTGGTGTTTTATAAATATAAAGTTTGAGATATCTAAATAGAAGTTGTTGGAAATCAAACCTTCTCTTATATGTTAATGCTGAATAAATGACAAAACTGTTGTATATTTTATATCACACGGAATATAAAAATTAAAAATCTATCATTTATTTAAGTCTTATCAAAACTTAATACATATTTTCTTCTTAAACCATCTTTCTTTAAGTTATGCCAATGAATACTAATTCTAACACTTTTATTTAGTTATATCCCTTTGATGTTATTTAAGAAATGCACATGACACTTTACTAAATAAAAGTTGTCATTAAAAATACATTTTTGGTAGAAACTAAGGCAGGAAAATGGTTTAAACTAGAAAAAGGAAATGCATTTGTTGAGTTTAAAAGGCAAACAAACCTCAAATTGAAAGTTCACAATGCAGAAGGAAGATGTTAAATCAGACCCTCTAACCTATATACATTTTTGATTAGCAATGTCAGTATTTTCAAATTCTAATTTCTTAATTATATTTGCATATTTATGATTAAATGATTTAAAAAAGTAATTGTCGCTTAGGTTGGTTTAACTTAGTTTACCCCACTAAAATTGTAAAAAAATATCGATTTAAATTCTCTAAAATTGGGCCTATTTTAGGTCTTAGTTAGTTTGTAACTTCTATTAGAAACAGACTTTTTTAAATATTTTCTCCTGTGTAAGGCTGCAGTGAAAGGTTCCCTTTTGCAATTTGCTCTTTTTCTCTCACGTTTTTATATTTTCTCCTCCTTCTTTCTTTTTGTGTGTAAATTTTTCTGCAATTTCTTTGGCTCAACCGCCATTCGCTTTTTGATCTTGAAAACATGCTGACTCCGGGTTCTCCAACCCGTTGCCCTTCCCCGCCAGCGACTCCCCCTTCGTGCACCTCCAATCCGGCGAACAACCTGTCCGCTCATTGAGAGCCGAACGAGTTTGTCAGGAAAACCAATAAAGCAAGCAGAATTGTTTATTGGAAACGAGCGGAGAAACGAGAGAAATAAGAGAGGCCGCCAGTGCAAAAGCCCAACAAATCTCGCATTTGATGTACCACTAAATGGGGGAATGGGGCTACGAGGCTGAATTATGCTTACTTTCCAGAACTGCAGACTCACTTTTATTTTGTTAGTTTATTCTCTCGGGAAATTACCAATTAAATTATTCGAAAATGCTGTGCTCTGCACGGAAATGTGGGGAATTATATAAACATTACGTGACCATAAAGATTAATAATAATAATTTTGCATAAAAATAGTTTCGGGAGATATTAATTTATGGTTTTCATGTATTAGATAACTTTGAAGAATTTAATGAATTAATTAACTACGATTTGTGCACAATTTACATTTCTTATTCACATATAAGAGCAGACAGTGTTGTTGACAATTTCATTAATGTTTAAACTGAAAGTTTTGCCAAACAAAACTATACAGTTTTCCTCTGGAATTTCAGGGAAATTAAATATTTATGGGTTGGTGAAATGCGCCACAATCAACAAGAGAGTTCATTTTAAAAAGCCAAAGAGAACAAAACAAATATTTAAATGAATTTATGATGAGCCAAGAAACGAATTCCAATGTATTTTATATTATGCCACTTTAAAATAAAAAGAGAAAACTATAAAACAAACGCAATAGTTTATGTCATATAATAAAACATTGACGGGAAGTTAAGTACTTTTTTCCTATAAACGAAATTTGTCTCTATAAATTGCACATCGAAATTATATTTGCACTTCCTGGAATTTATTCAAATGATGCTGACCTTTCTAGTCAGAAGTCCTAGTTCCAAAGAACCCATAAGTCCTCCTCTGCGGTTTTTTATTGCTTCCTTTCTTGGTATCATCCCACTCGCATCTCGATTGCTTGGGGGGTTCGGGCAAAGCACCTGCCAATTGAGATTGAATAATAGCCTTGCTTCTGGCTCCTCTATCTTCGAGCCAACTCAGTAAATGGAAAACTAAAAGGCTTACAAATCTCAGGGACCAAGTACTAAGCAGGTGCTGAGATAAGGAGTTATTTACTTCAAACAAAATCGAGGGGAAATGGTTGCCTTTTTACAGGTGCACCCGTAACTTTGCACAAACATTTTGAGGAGGGTTTTCTTTTGAAGCGAATCGCAGGCGTGACAAAACGATTCACAGCAGTCGGAAAACCGTTAACTGTATTTGCCAAGCCAACCCGTTTTGGCAAACAGAACTTGGTCTAAAGAGTTGCCCAAACTTTCCATTGGGAAATCGCTGGCGCAGTGAGTAGAAGGAGCAGTGAGGTGAGCTGAACTGAACTGAGCTTGGCTTGGCTCACGCTAATGCACAGCCAAAAGGCAATAACTCAATTGGCAAATATCCGCAGCAGTCGCAGAACCATGAAGCCTGACTCTCCGAAATGTGCAACATAATTCAATTAGTGGTAATAAAAGGTCTACAAAGCACACAAATAGAAGCCTGTCGAAACGTCCGCCCTAAAAACACTCAGCAAAAAAACCCCATTTCATCACTTAATAAGAAATGAATGAATACATTTATATCTAGGGAAAATTTTCTGAACTTTAAGTGCATTTATTCATCATTGCTTTCCATTTTCAACCAACAGTTTCAATAAAAAACCTTAAACCTTTGCTTTAATACCCTTCAGAATCAATTAAAATAAATATTACCTTTATTAAAACCCCTCACAAATCACCATAATCCCCCCTGCACTTTTCTTCGAGTGCAGATCGAGGTGACGCCTCGGCGAGCATGAAATTCGCCAAAGGCCAATGGATTTATCATATATTTGGAGCAGAGCAAACCCCTTCGTTTGGGGGATACATATATAGACGTTGGATTTCTTTGTCGCTGGTAGCCCCGAAACTCGGAGTTAAATGGCTTTTTTTTTTACAACCGTTCCAAGGTGAACGGGTCACCCTGAACAGGGCCGAACTGGACACAGTCCGT